TGACCATGAGAGTAGGTCAATTATCAATACCCCTCCTTTACACTATACCGCAGATGAAATTTCAAAAGAGGTCATTGCAGAGCTTGTGACCATGAGAGTAGGTCAATTATCAATACCCCTCCTTTACACTATACCGCAGATGAAATTTCAAAAGAGGTCATTGCAGAGCTTGTGACCATGAGAGTAGGTCAATTATCAATACCCCTCCTTTACACTATACCGCAGATGAAATTTCAAAAGAGGTCATTGCAGAGCTTGCGGTCATGAGAGTAGTTCAATGCTTTTTTTTATTTAAGCCTCCATCCAAACATGCTGCAGGCCTATTTATGAACATCCTGGCCTTTTGTGTCTTGATTTGTTTTAGATTCTGATTACTATTTTAATACAATTCACGTTGGAGAAGTTGGTAGTGGATCAAGATAATTCATCCCAGCATGCTGCATACCAGATATCATGTCATTGGTTACATTGATTATTCAAAGAGGCATTTTAAAGAAAAACACTGATTGCGATTATACAATGGACGGACAGCAAATACTGCAAATTAGCTTACTTCCTTTTGTATACAGCGATTTTTTCTCATTGATTACATTTCACCCTCTTAGCTTTTTCGTAACTAAGGCAAAAGTAAAACAGCAGCTGGGAGTTTAAAGTTGCAAGAATATGAGCAGGTGTTTCGGAAGTGTAGGCATCTTCTACTTCATTGTCTACACCCGCCATAGACAATTCAAGTAAACCTCACATTCCCAAATGTGAACTAGGTAAACAACAGCGGCACCTCATTGGTAAGCATTAAACATGTCAAGCTTTATAATGCAGTAAGAAATAAAATATTTCTCAGTGAGGTTATTGATAGGACGTAAAACGTTCCCACAACCTTTATTAACATACATCTCTCAATATCAGCTATGTTAGGAGTTTGTTTGCCAGTTCCTGCCATCTTGCATGAAAATCGTTATTATAAATTGGATCAACTGCGACAGATAAACAACATATGTTGGAGACGCTAGGATGTTACTATACAGAAACGGAAAATTCACAAAAGGGAAATTCAGATCGTCACACAATATTACAACTTTGTGGAAATCTGTCCCTGTTTTTTTTTTTTATTTATCATAAAATAATCCTTAATTTCTAATCCTGGTTGGTACATGTATATCTGATGGGCATGGTCAATAATTGTTTTGTTACCTATACATATGAAATTGAAAATTGATGTCATCAATACCTCTGAGAGTGAAATCGAAGGACTTCATGTTTTGAAAAGCTCTTCCTAGCTAAACCTCGAATGAAAACAAAGCAAGTCAGCCGTGAGAGGGAAACGCAGTTTGTTACAATAGGTATACAAATAGTCTGTTCAATGTCAACCAGAAATGAAATTATTACTATGATTTTGTCTTTTATATCACAGTGTGGTTCAGTTAATATTAACAAGGGCCAAGAGGGTCTGTATCGGTCACCTGTAAATGCAAACCTGTACATTTCTTTAGAAGGAAAACATTTCCCCTAATGAACCTCACCCCACAGATACTGCTTCAAATTCCCTAGGAGTGGGGACTGAGATCAGTTGTTAATCTCTCGATGCCCAGTAATGCTGTTAAGTTATGAGATGGTAATTTCAATGGCTTTAAAGGTATAATCTGTCCTGGGGTTGGACCAGACACCAGGACAAATTATAAGTTATGGTTGTGTTTTATCTTCTGATGCTCAACAATGCTACCATTATTCAAATAACCAAAGATCCAAATGAATTGTTGATGGTGCAAAGAAGTGATATGAAAATGAACTAAATCTACCTGGGGGTTAGATTTTCCCTGCTAGGCCCTACCCATCTGACCCAAAACCGACACTTTATACAAACCGATTTCAATTAACCCAAGCATGCTTCAGACCAAATATGGACAATATCCTGCAATTCCTGAAGACGAATATACATTTTACAGATATTGATAGATTTTCCCTATTGGGCCCCACCCCTTTAGACCCAGGAGGCCAAGACCCACCATTTATACAAAACTGATTGTCCTTCATCCAAGCTCTTTGGGCAAGGTGACCTAAAAAGCACTGGCTCTGTTAAAGGAAACTGAACAGCTTGAGGTATGTTTTATCCTTCAGAGTAAGAACATGTGTTGTCTTCTTCCTTATATTCATACCAAACTGTTTTTGCTTTTTCAAACAATATTGTTTTTGTAACACAAGTCTCTTTCTTGTGTTAAAATGATAGAGTAAGTATCTCAATAAAGCCTTTCCTTGATCCAATACATAAATTGTTAATACAATGTAACATACTCATACATTTCTTACAGGCTTCGGGAGAATGCGATAAAACTGCCATCGTTTTGAGGAAGGCTTTTAAACTGTCATCAGCTATTGAAGAGTCTTACTAGGCATAAAAAGCCTTAACACTGCTAGTGATCCTGTATGTGTTCCTTAAACCAAGCAATGGTATATTTGTAATCATTATATTTGTGTGATGAATTAGACTTTCTTATGTTTGCTTGTGGAGAAACCCTGATGTCATAACCCTCAGGGATGTATCAACAGTACAAAATGTTAAACCTGGCTTCTCGATGGATTCCTTTCAACATATTTGGATAAAATATCCAGTATGTATAATAGTTTCATCTTTGTGATTTTATAAGTACACATGAATGCACACCTTAATAAGACAGTACTGGTTAATAATTTTTCATTATAAAAGAAAAAAAGGCTATTTAAAATGAAGATTTGTATGGGAGCTAACCCTAGCAAAAACCACAGACATTAGGATATTATGTTTTATGTGTACAGTACGACATGTCTGTGATGAAGTTGTTAGGGTTTATTTGAGCTTTACGACATAAATGAAATAACAAGTTTTTAACATCTTTTCTGTTTATTATTAATCTGTAATATAAATTTCAACACGATGGAACTATTCAGTTTAATAAACATAAATTACAATCTTTCAGTAAGTTTCTTGTTAAAATCATTTAATTTTTATTTTCTTACCAACACCTGAAAACATACAAATACTGCATACATGTTTTTCATTATAATTTTGCCATCACCTAATATACATTAGTCATCACAAGTTGTAAGACATATTAACTTTGCTGTTTTGGGTAAGGAATTTATATAAGCTGATTTTCAATCTCAAAAGTATGGGTAACTTTGCTGAAAGTAGAAATAAGTAATAATTAATCTAATTTGGTGTAAGTTGAAGAATATGTGTGTAGACATACAGACATGTGATCTATGTGTACCTAGTACCTGTGAGCAGGCTTCAATAAGTAAATTCTTCATCCACATTAAGTATGAACATGTCATGTAGAGTACAACATCTTAAAGTTAAGGTATACATAGCAGTTACAATGATGCATTAACCTCCGTTTTCTTGATGTGGCAACAAGCTCCTTTACCAGATCTAATTATAACGACAACAGCTAATGAATTCTGTCTATGTACATGTACATACAATCAATATACATTGCTTATTGGTTGGTTATTCATCCAGGATATACCAAATTCAAATTGCATTGACAAGTAAGAAATAAAACAGGAGTTAGGTACAGAGAGAAAACAAGAGGCCCATGGGCCTTAACGGTCATCTGACAAAAAGCAAGCCAAACCTAGAAAGTGGGTTGAGGTCATTCATTTGAACAAACTTGGTAGCCTCTCCTCCAAGCATCTTACAGGCCCAATATCAGCACTCATGGACTTTTGCTTGTTGAGAAGAAGTTGTTTGTATATTTTAACATATTTGACCCCTGTGACCTTGAAAGTGGGTTGAGGTCATTCATTTGAATAAACTTGGTAGCCTTTCCTCCCAGCATGCTACAGACCCAATATCGGCACTCATAGACTTTTGCTTATTGAGATGAAGTCCTTTGTATATTTTAACATATTTGACCCCTGTGACCTTGAAAGTGGGCCAAGGTCATTCATTTGAACAAACTTTGTAGGGCTCCATGCCACATGCTATGGGCCAAGTATTAGCCCCCTAGGCCTTCTAGTATTTGAGAAGAAGTTATTTAAAGATTTTGACATATTTGACCCCTGCGACCTTGAAAGTTGTTCAAGGTCATTCATTTAAATAAACTTGGTAGCCTTTCCTCCCAGCATGCTACAGACCCAATATCGGCACTCATAGACTTTTGCTTATTGAGATGAAGTCCTTTGTATATTTTAACATATTTGACCCCTGTGACCTTGAAAGTGGGCCAAGGTCATTCATTTGAACAAACTTTGTAGGGCTCCATGCCAGCATGCTATGGGCCAAGTATTAGCCCCCTAGGCCTTCTAGTATTTGAGAAGTTATTTAAAGATTTTGACATATTTGACCCCTGTGACCTTGAAAGTTGTTCAAGGTCATTCATTTAAACAAACTTGATAGCCCTTCATCCCAGCATGCCACAGGCACAATATCAGCAATCTGAGCCTTTTGGTTATTGAGAAGAAGTTGTTTAAAGATTTTAACATATTTGACCCCTGTGACCTTTAAAGTGGGTCAAGGTCATTCATTTGAACAAACTTGGTAGTCCTTCATCCCAGCATGCTACAGGCCTTATTTTAGTTGCCTGGGCCTTTTGATTACTGAGAAGAAATCCTTTGAAGATTTAAAGACATTTGACCCCTGTGACCTTGAATGAAGGTCAAGGTCATTTATTTGAACAAACTTGGTAGGGTTTCATCAAAGCAAGCTACAGGCTAAATATTAGTTGCCTGGGCCCTCCAGTTATTGAGAAGAAGTCGTTTGAAGATTTTAAGACATTTGACCCCTGTGACCTTGAATGAAGGTCAAGGTCATTCTTTTTAACAAACTTGGTAGGGCTTCATCAAAGCAAGCTACAGGCCAAATATTAGTTGCCTGGGCCTTCTAATTATTGAGAAGAAGTCGTTTGAATGAAAAGTTTACGCACGGCGGACGACGACGGACGAAGCATGATGACTATAGGTCATCGGACCCTTCGGGTCAGATGACCTAATAAGGATCTCAAGGTACAACAAGAAATCCATGATTGACAAAATCCTTTATTTTTTCTGCTCAATTTTTGAATAATTCGAGTTTTTCTTTCATGCATACATTTTCTGTTTATTTTTTTCTTTCAAAATAGCAGCTAGATCACTAGCAGAACGGTTAAAAAATATCACAATACTAAATGAAAGATTTACTTCAGTTTTTTACCAATAAAATCCTTCTCCTTTCCAGTGTTTGTATGGAACCTAGGAAATTCAGACATCATCTACAATAGCAAAGGCTGAAAAACCATATCTAAAATATTGATGGGTCATGTTTATAATACCTAATAATCTTATTTTGAAATACACCTTAAAAACAGATAAGAATTGGTTTTTAAAAGCAGTAAAAGTGATTGTACATATACATTCGGTAGAAAAACATTTTTCTCCACTCTCCATATTATGCACGTTTTATTATGACAACTCATTAATGCATATTAACAAACACATCAAAATTTTTATTCCGTTTTACATGTAACTATATATTTAAAGATCTCTGTTACTAATTCCTGATTTCTTTAAATCTTCCCTTACATTTCTTTTAAAAAAAGATTTTACACTTTCTCAGAAAAAACTAGTGTTATCAAATAAACAAGATACTTTAAGTACTATAATTGTCTGCAATAACTAGAAAGGGGAAGGGAGTGTCATATATAATACATCTAACTCAAAGTCAGAGGGTGGGCACCTACATACTACTTGTTAGTAATGGCACTCATCAGATATTGACATTGATTGCCAGATATATACTGTAATATTTTCATCCTATTCAATATAGTCATACCTTACTACCAATTTTAACAGAAACTGATTTCTGTATTTCATCATACATATGATGTAATGTGATTTTACAACGAGAATTTCAATTTCAGCATGCTCATGTGAAAACACATTCAACTTGTGATTTTTTAAAGCAAATTATAATTCCATCTGTAATTTGATTTTTTTAAGCAAACTATATGTAAAATATGTTAATGTATAAAAAATATTGTATATTGCTAAGTTTGAGATTCTGCTCACACCTAAATCAATGTCTAGGATCATATTACCAAGGTAACTTGATATTTGTATGGACCAATCAGATTGTAATTTGACCCCAAGGCTGGATATTCTTAATAAATTATCCACGATAAAAATATTTTAGAGTAAAAGCACCCTCAATAACACACCACGAAACAAGTACAAGTGCCTAAACAATAGTGATAAGAACAAAGCAAAGGCATTAACAAAAAGATCTAGACACAACTGCAGCCTCCCTTAGAATACAACATGAAAAATGTTCTTGTTCAGCAATAAAGGACAAATATTTTTTTTATTCTGATATACAAGCATAAAACTCAAATAAAACATGCAACAAAAAAAGGAACACCAACTCAAAACATTAAAAAAACATATTGACAAAACATATTGCATGGTACTTTGAAACCAGGAAACATAAAATAACACTCAAGTAAAAGTTACAAACAACTCACAATTGTTAATATTGATTAAGGAAAGTACAAAATGTATATAATGTAAAGGTAGCTTGAACATCTACAGTTACGTAAACGTCATGTATTATGCGAGATCTGGCATTTATTTACATAATCTTTAAAAAGTTTCAATTTCATTAAATTATTTACAAATACATCACCTCACAAATATTCTGTGAAATACTTTTAAATTTATTGATCATCATAACAACTTTATCTGTAGCAGCAAATTCAACAAGTGACAATCAATTGATGAGCTTACTTGTCAATGCCCCTGAAACAGGATCATGTACTTTTACCAAAACAACACTCCTAATTTGCATATCTAGACACCATATTTACAATGAAAAAAAAAAACCAAAAAAACAAAAAAAATCAAATACTGTAATAAAACCAAATTTGGTGCAATCAAATTTTAGCCTATTATCTCTTCTTGGCAGATAAATGCAATGATGACTTTGCACATCCAAAATAATCATTAAATAAACAGAAATTGCAATTAGAACAACCATTAGTACAACACATTTGGCATGAAAAACACTAAAATAGGGTTACTATTAAAACGTGTACCTATACAGTATTTCAAAGTGCAAAATTTGACAACACTATAGGAATGTGAAATATGAAATAGAGATCATGATATATTATTCAAATCTGGACATTTTTTTTGTTTTTGTTTAGAAGTATGAGAGAGTGGTGGTTTTAATCAATGTGCAAACTCAGGGTAAAACAAATTAAGGCAACAATGCTTTGCATACCGTAAAAATATCAGTTCAGATATGCCTACATTGTGTCATATTATTCATTATATGTACTATCAATTTCAGAAATAATATCATTAATATTGTTCTACGGCAAGATTTTGAGCGAAGGAGCAATTTCTTTTCAGATTAAAGTGTGAATAAAAAAGCATGATTTTCTTACATTTTCTTTTAGCTAATCAGAATTTTCATGGTGTGAAAGATTTCTGTGATTGCAAGTTTTGGTCCCTGAAAGGTCTGAAATGCTAACCCCTGAATAATATTTACAAACATGTTAAAAAAATATTCATTCAAAATCTTCCTTCATTACTATTCAAAGAGAGTTCACAGTGTCACCTCTGTTTTTTTTTTTTACATAAATTTATAGATAGTCAATACTTTTCATCCATGGCTGCTCATAAATTAACAAGATCAACTCTGCATTTAAAGTATTTCATATTCCATTATGAGATCTTACACCAGTATTGTGCAGAAAGTGCACTCAAACACCAAATATTTTGTTGTAAAAATCCTGTCTGTACCATGTACATTGATATTCATGTGATCTGCAATGACCAAAGTGATATAAACATGCTTCTATCAAGAATGTTTTAACATGTGACTCAACCTTTGGTGTATTACAAACATCTTTTATATAACAACAACATTTGGAAAGTGTGAAGCTGTGTCCTTATCTTTGTACACTTATTCTGGATCATAAGCTAGTACAGATCCTAGCCACTTCTCAACATCAGTAACGGACATGTTCTTCCTTCTAGAATAGTCCATGATCTGGAAGATAAGGAAAAATCAACAAAACAAATCCAGGCTATAAAAATTTCAAAACTTAAACGATAGTAAGACAGCATTTCAATTAATTTCAATCAAAGACTAGACATCCATTGAAACAAGATTGTAAATATTCAAATTGAATTAAGATTATCACCATTTATCAGCATTTCAAGTAACATTTGCATCAGGCCATTTTCCACGAAGTTTAAGTATCAAACATTTATTTTGTTGAAGAGATTCTCAAAATAATTTTGACTACCAAGAATGTGAAAAATGTCAATAACGACCTATCATTCTATCCAGAAATCAACTTATTATCTCATATACATATGCACTTACTTGATCTTTTTGAAGTTTTCCTGTAGCAAAGTAGGAAGCTTTGGGGTTTCCAAAGTAAAGTCCAGACACAGATGCTGCTGGTTCCATAGCTAATGACTCTGTCAGAGTTATCCCCACTTGGTCTGCCGGCAGCAGTTGCCACATTATATTTTTCTCTGTGTGATCTGGTTGACTGGGATAGCCTGGAGCCGGACGGATTCCCTTACGGAAAAATGATAATTTAAGATACTCTTGAACCAATTTCATATGAAACTCTCACGTCACTCTACAGGTTTTACAATTTCATATGAAACTCTCCCATCACTCTACAGGTTTATAAATTTGGAAGTTCAGGAAGCATATCTTCCTGTGAAAAAATTAGCCAAGAAGCGGAATGCTTTGTTTTCAATTAGAAACCTGATATTATAAATTAAAAGCAGATTTATTTGATATTTTCATCATCTGACATGAATCTTTTACTGCTGTAACTAATATTGTCTTCAGGAATGGAATGGTAGTCCTTTCCAAATCCTTTGTTCATCTCTTCCATACTTACACTATCAATAATCCACATTTCACAACTAGATACACTTAATTTCAAAAGCTTAAAAAAACACTTAACTTTTGGCTCTAGAGTGAATGTGAACAAATTACTGACTGTACTAAAGTAATGACCATTTACAGGTAAAATGTATAACAACTCTCTCTTTAATTGTGAACATTAGCACTTGCTGAATTTGAAGATTTTCTTTGAATCAAACTTTACTTTGAACTATTGGTAACCTGTTAATGGAATCTATTATTTATTATTTCTAAAATCATTAGATACAAACCAATCAATATTGTATTTTAATATATATGTTAATAGCCTATCATTCTCCTTCACAACAGTGAAGGTTGTTTTGTTAAATACATGAAACATTTCTTAGATGGACAGAGTTGTTACAAATGTCGGTCTATTACAAAATGAAATTGAATCCCCAGAAGTGGCTCCTCTTTATCATTACTTACTCTGTAAATGTATAATGAATTGTAGTAATTTGTGATACATCAGATGACATCGCATTGTCTAAGCTAATCAAGTGGAACAGTCTGGATGATTATGTCAGTATAGACAATAATGTTGTAACCTCGCATGGTTGTGGCAACGATAAGATAATCACATCGATCACAAAAAAAAAAACAGATGATGAGGAAGACAACAATAACAAACCCATTACTTTCATAAAAAACTGCTTTAGAGTGTGTTGAAAGTTTGTGTAACTTTTTGTGTTCATGAGAGAATGTACTGACAGAACTCTTCAGCTGATTGTTGGCATTTGATCTGTATTTTGATAAAAAGCATAAAAAAACCAAAAGTCTCAGTTTTTTTGAGACAACTGAACAGAAAGAAAACCACAAGTTTTCATACCTGTCTTTACATTTTTGTTCCAGTGTTCATTGAGAACTGTACTATACAAATTGATATAACAAATTGTTTCCTCTGCTCCTGTGGAATTGGTTATCAACAAATTGTACTGTATTATTGTCATGAAGACTAACCTGGTATTTTATTTTATGCAGACCCTGAGCATCAAGTTCCTCATCAGGACTGTAAGCCCAGAACTCCTTCCTTGTTCTCTCATGTAGCTCCTCGGCAAAGGCCTACAATACATGTATAAAGTAGTGTTGCTACAAGAAACGTCTATCCTATGATCCGAACTCCTATATTCCATACAATTTTCAAATAAGATTAAGTCCAATGGGTGGAAAATGCAAAAGATGAAGAGCTTCTTACAAATAGGCGTGGGCTTATTGATGAATATGATAGTATATTTGTGATATATTTCTCATCAGCTTCCAAACATCAGCAGGATTCTCAGCACCCAGAATACTAATCACTGTTATTTTCATAATAAAGAATTCACAGACTTTGATCCTAGAAATACAGAAGCTGGTGAATCACCTCTGATCTACAGATGTCTACACTAACTATTCCTAGAGTGATTCTAATCAGAGAGGGCTGGTTTTGTCCACTTAATATCATGTAATATAAAAGATTTACCATTATAGTTCATGTTCTTATCAACATGGAAAAAGAAGACATCTTAAAAGTTCTTCCTATTTCACAATATATACAGCTGTGGAAAATTGTTTATTTAACAAATGGAGACATTATATCTATACAGTTGTACTGACCTCTGCTAGCCTGTCTGCAACAGCCTTCACCATAATGATGTTGTAATCATCCAACTTCTCTTCAAATCTGTCATCAGAACAACGAAACATGTAAAATCGTTACCAACTGTGTGTTCTAACCAAGTTCAACACCTACATCAATTGTATAATGAAAATCTCAACCAACCCCAGTCCATTCCAGGAATTAAACAGCAACAGATAGACAGAGGTGTTACTCAAAACCAAACTTTGACATAACTTTGTGTCTAATATTGAATGAAGATACCAGATGGACTACAAGAGACAAACAAATCTAGCTTTAGTTAGATTTAATTCTCAGTCTCATGTAAGAGAAAGAGATTTCTGATGACTTACTCCTTACACATCTTGTCTACACCAATACCAGCTGTTGTTGCAAACAATCCTATGTAGTCAGTCACTCCAGATTCCTTTGAAGCTATAAAGTCAGATAAGCACAAGTACGGGCTCTTGTCCATGGACTCCTTCATAGCCTGTTTACATAAAAATTATCAAACCATCATTATATACAGTGATACCTTCCACTGTCAAAGTGGCCTACTCTGTGTCACCCCAGGTCTAACTCTTTCATTCTGTATCTAGGTTATTTACTCTATCTAGCTCATTCACTCTGTATCTAGGTTATTTACTCTATCTAGCTCATTCACTCTGTATCTAGCTCATTCACTCTGTATCTAGGTTCTTTATTCTATCTAGCTCATTCACTCTGTATCTAGGTTATTTACTCTATCTAGCTCATTCACTCTGTATCTAGGTTATTTACTCTATCTAGCTCATTCACTCTGTATCTAGGTTATTTACTCTATCTAGCTCATTCACTCTGTATCTAGGTTATTTACTCTATCTAACTCATTCAATCTGTATCTAGGTTATTTACTCTATCTAGCTCATTCACTCTGTATCTAGGTTATTTACTCTATCTAGCTCATTCTCTCTGTATCTAGGTTATTTACTCTATCTAGCTCATTCACTCTGTATCTAGCTCATTCACTCTGTATCTAGGTCACTCACTCTGTATCTAGTTCATTCACTCTGTATTTAGGTCACTCACTCTGTATCTCATCTGTAATCTCTCATCTCTCTGCAATTCATTCTCCCTTTATACAGGTCAATCCTATGTGTTTAAGTCACAATTCTATCTGGTATTCTGGTATGGTCTGTTAGCACAGTGGACAAAGCGACCGCCATTCACTTACACATTTATCTGAGGTTCAACACCCCTGCCAGAAGTATCTCTTAGTTATCTGATTTACGTATTGGGAGTGTTTCAATTCAATCAGGATTGAAGTCCCTCATCTGAGATACATGTATCTATTTTATTCTGTCCCTCTGGACTGTTTCAGTTGCCTACCTGTTGTCGTAAACCATGCAGTACCCCTATCACCTCTCCATTTTCATTGTAAACTTCAATGTCATCACCAACACTATTGGCTGGGTAGAAAGCCACCATTCCATGAGCCTTTAGGCTCCTGTTTACAGAAATTTTCTTCAGCATGGCCTGGGCTTCATTGTAAACCTTCTTGGCTTCCTCTCCTACAGTAAAAACGACAATATCATATAAATAGAGAACAGAACTGGGATGATCAACAGCCAATCAGGAATTGAAATATACCTGGAATCATGTTACAAACATGCTAACAGCAATATTTTTTGAGAATCTTAGTTATTTATTATTGTGAAGCGGGGTTTATGTTTTTTGTATTTCCACTCCCTTCCCTCCCCCCCCCCCCCCCCCCCCACCACCACCACCCCTCCCCTTAAAATTTCTCACTTTAGACCAACGTGCCACAGAACTGGTGTAAGACAAAATATTTGTAAGATTTATCTTTTTTTTCTCCATTACATTGTTTATTTTATTCTTACACTATCTTTTAATTCAAATTAAAAGGTACAATTCCTCCTTATCTTATGTATAATTATTCAAAGGTTGAATGGAAACCAAAGCTGCCAGAGAGTAACTGAAACAGATTAACTACAATAGTTATACCTAAGGTAATTAAATAATGTTTCAACCTACCTACAGTTTTATCATTGAAGATTTTTGGATAACCTCTGTTTGGATATTTTCCTCGTAGCTGCCAGACATCAAAAAAGGGTTTCCAATCGATGTAAGGGATGATTCTTGATAAGTCATAATTCTCTAACTCTTTAACTCCAATGAAAGACGGGCTGACTAGATGGGACAGGAAGAAATGTTCATCACATTACGTATGTATTTAAAGACAGATATCTTTTTAATAGCAGTTCCTGTTAACAATACAAAATTGAAAATAAAAGACAATCTACATTTTATTATATCACAGTTAACATATTCTATACAATACATATAAAGGTAGTTTAAAAATCAGATCCTTCAAACAATTGGAAGAAGTCAAGAAGTTTATTTCGGCAAATTCAGCAATCCTTAAATACAAAAAAAAAATTGTCTCAAAAGAATTTTGAGAAAGAAAGCTATCAGTTTAACAAATGAAGTGCTTTATTCTGAAATTGATTACAGTACGAATGTTTGTAAAAAGGTGTTTAAGCACAAACCTGAATAAATTTAAGTTAACCTGATCAACAATGAACTATTTTATGCAAGACTTCTAAACAGGAGATCTCCGCTTATCCAATTTTGACTGTCGTAAGAAGTTACCATTAGTATCTCGCTGTTCAGCGTCTCTTGTCAGAACATTACTCAAGTCAACAATGATTTATTTTTTTAATCTAGGATGATTTTAAAATTTTTGACATGTACAAGATCTATATCTACTCACCTGGTGCTGTCTCAACTTTCCAATCAATCACTAACTTCTTTGCTCTAGCCTGCTCCAGAGTAAGATACTTTCGCTCCTTGTAAAATTACAAGCAACATCCTTAATCCACATGAAAACAGTAATCAAAGTAGAATCAAAAAGCACAAAATGCAATCAAAAACTGGTTCCCATTATGGACTGACTTGTGTTTGGTAAGGACAGGTTTCCCCATATCAACAGAACTGTGTTTAGTATAGACAGGTTTACCTGTGTTAACAGACCTTTTCCCAATATTGACAAGTTTCCCTGTATTAACAGACCTTTGTCCAATATTGACAAGTTTCCCTGTATTAACAGACCTATATACTTACCTTTGTCCATTATAGACAGGTTTACCTGTACTAACAGATTTTTTCCAAGTATAGACAGCTTTCCCTCTAATAATTTACCTACTTTTGGTATAGACAAGTTTCCCTGTATTAACAGACCTGTATACATACCTTTGTCCATTACCTAATAACTTTACTTTAGGTATAGACAGGTTTCCCTGTATTAACTTACCTACTTTTGGTATAGACAGGTTTCCCCGTAATAACTTACCTACTTTTGGTATAGACAGGTTTCCCCGTAATAACTTACCTACTTTTGGTATAGACAGGTTTCCCCGTAATAACTTACCTACTTTTGGTATAGACAGGTTTTCCTGTATTATCAGACCAAAGTCCAGTAAAGACAAGTTTCCTTGTATTAACAGACCTGTATACATACCTTTGTCCATTATAGACAGGTTTCCCCGTAATAACTTACCTACTTTTGGTATAGACAGGTTTCCCTGTAATAACTTACCTACTTTTGGTATAGACAAGTTTCCCTGTATTAACAGACCTGTATGCATACCTTTGTCCATTATCGACAGGTTTACCCGTAATAACTTACCTACTTTTGGTATAGACAGGTTTCCCCGTAATAACTTACCTACTTTAGGTATAGACAGGTTTAGGATGAATAACTTAACTTTTTATAGACAAGTTTTCCTGTATTATCAGACCAAAGTCCAATAAAGACAAGTTTCCTTGTATTAACAGACCTGTATACATACCTTTGTCCATTATCGACAGGTTTACCCGTAATAACTTACCTACTTTTGGTATAGACAAGTTTCCCTGTATTAACAGACCTGTATACATACCTTTGTCCATTATCGACAGGTTTCCCCGTAATAACTTACCTACTTTGGTATAGACAGCTTTCCCCGTAATAACTTACCTACTTTTGGTATAGACAGGTTTCCCTGTATTAACAGACCTGTATACATACCTTTGTCCATTATCGACAGGTTTCCCTGTAATAACTTACCTACTTTAGGTATAGACAGGTTTCCCCGTAATAACTTACCTACTTTTGGTATAGACAGGTTTCCCCGTAATAACTTACCTACTTTAGGTATAGACAGGTTTCCCTGTAATAACTTACCTGCTTTAGGTATAGACAGCTTTCCCCGTAATAACTTACCTACTTTAGGTATAGACAGGTTTCCCCGTAATAACTTACCTACTTTAGGTATAGACAGGTTTTCCTGTATTATCAGACCAAAGTCCAATAAAGACAGGTTTTCTTGTATGAACTGACTGGTGTTTGGTAGATACAAGTTTTCCCCTATTAACCAATCTTTGTTCGATATAGACAGGTTTCCCCATAATAATTTACCTATTTTTGGAATAGACAGGTTTCCCTGTATAAACTGACCTGTTTGTTTGGTCTAGACAACAAGTTTTCCCGTATTAATAGACCTTTGTCCACTGAAGACAGGTTTCCCTGTATCAACAGATCTGTGTTTGGTATAGACATGTTTTCCTGTATTAACAGACCTTTGCTCAATATTGACCTGACCTGTGTTTGGTAAAGACAGGTTTCTTGTATTTACTAACCTTTATCCACTGCATACAGGTTTTCCTGTATAAACTGACCTATGTTCCCCATATCACCCGACTTATGTGTGGCATTTTTCTGGTATAAACTGACCTATGTTTAGTATTTACAGGTTTCCCCAGTATTTACAGGTTTCCCCAGTATTTACAGGTTTCCCCAGTATTTACAGGTTTCTCCATATCACCCGACTTATGTGTGGCATTTTTCTGGTATAAACTGACCATGTGTGGAATACACAGGTTTCACTTACTTTGAGTGAGTCATAGTGCTCTTCTCTGATTTCTTCATATTCTTCACTGATCTCCTCCACAAAATCTTCTTTGTTCGTATCATCCATCAGTGATGAACACTGAAAAGATATAAAGGAGTAAAGCAACACACAAAATTCAATTCTTCTCTAATTTTTCAAGACAATATTACAAATTTTCGACAAAAATAAATGGAAAAGTTTGGATGGATGCTTGCTTGAAAGCAAAATGCCATGAAAGGATATAATATACAAAAATGGAAGTTCACCTCTTACTCCCCTGAAATAAGGTCGGAGTATACTTACCACTACAACACTTTTGGAAGCATCTAAAACATGGATTGTTGGGAATTTGTATCTTGGTGCAATCTTCACAGCAGTATGAGTTCTGTACATTGAGATGTAAAAAAGTCAGGTTACATATCACTGAACTGAAGTAATTGTGTGTTAATGTATTTTTGTGTTAATAAAGAAACTTTCTGCAGAATTTTAGAAAAAGATCTTTTATATAAAAATAGGAGAGGAGCTTTCTTGTTATATTGGATAAGTCATCTAGATGTAAATACCTTTGAGTATGCAGGGTGATTGCATAAGACTAAGACATATGAACATGGAGGTGCAATTACGTCACAATCTGATGCTTTCAGTCAGCAATGTGTTGTTTATTTTAACTATATTCTGCCGACTGGTTTCACCAAGGGGAGGGCTTCGTCAGGCTGTGTTGTGATTGCACCTCCATGTTCAACTTTTATATTAGAGTTATAAAAGTGTGAATATTCCTTGTATATGTTTTGAACAGCTTCCATTTTTTTTTCATTTTTTTCTATTTTTAAATAAAACTGTATTTTTCCTTCTAATAAGCTATATGGGCTACACCATCTATTGGCATCCATAAGAAAAACTTCTATTTTTCTATACAATTATCCCTATTCCCTGACATCACTGTACAGGTAGATATTACTTAAATCTTAAATGACCTACTTTGATGTGGTTGCACCACCGATCAGTAAGGGAAGCTGCATGCCGATCCTATCCATCTCCTTGGCAACATATATCATCTCATCCAGAGAAGGGGTGATGAGACCCGAAAGGCCAACAATATCTGAACATCAATCATACAGTTAGGAAAATAAGGAATGTATGCTCTGCACATCACAACAAATTGAGATTGAAATAAAATTACAGCAAGTTCAACACTCATGGAAATAAACTCTGACAGATCAAAAAGTAATATTGGATGGTGCTGTAATACTGAGCTACTGATGCTTAAATCTTATTTACAAACTGTATACAGGTAATAGGCTAAAATGTAAAGGCTTAAAACCACTGAAATAACCTGCCAATTAATTATCTCAGTATCACAATTATCATCAACCAAATATTTCAATATTTTCTCACACATTTTGACAAACCATAATCCCATTAGTTACTGTACTTGATGTTGATCACAATGCATACCTGCTCTCTCTTTCATTGCAGTTTCCAGAATCTTCTCACACGGTGTCATCACTCCGAGATCGATAACTCTGCAATTGTGAAAGCCGTCTTGAAAAAACACTGACCATTCAAGATTAAGAGATTCATTTCTAAATTTATAAAACTAACTCAATTCTTAGAAGGGTACCAAGACCATTATCTTTTGAGTTTTAACATCAAGCTTTAATGTTTTCAATTTCTGAATATTGATTTCTTAACAGGTAATAGAAAGTAGAAATAAAGGATAGGATCAAATTATTCCAGATACTGATCCCTATGAGGCTCTGACCCATTCATCAGATATTAAAAAAATTGGTTTGAACATAACACAATTCAACTTTCTGTCCAAGAATGTTTTCTTAACACACAAAGCCTGAACTTAAAGCTGATAATGACTAAGAAAATAAAAGTTGGCACCAAATGATCCATCATATTTAGTAAGTAAGTGAGCTTCCTTTATCTGTATTTGAGTTTAGGATTCTGTTTTCCGTTCATGATGATGCTACAGGTTGTAAGAAACTTATAAAACAGTATAAACTTCAAACTTTTAAACTTCATGTTTCAGTTCCGATACTTTTACATACCTATAATTGTTACAGCCCAGGACGACACCTACAATGTTTTTTCCAATGTCATGGACATCTCCCTTCACTGTCGCCAAGACAACAGTCCCCACATAAGCATCTGCCTGATTGTACAACACATTCAATATTTTATCAGGATGACTGCATGAGCTTAACAATATACCCAAAACTCAAATTGAACTTTTTTCCACCAGAAAACATTAATATCCCTATTCCTTTATTTTGTATATGAATCAGAATTTGAGAAAAAGTGTAGAACTTGATATTTTGATACTATGAGGTAAAATTATCCAAGTATGATGTAAATCAAGAAGTTCTCAAGATTAACATTACATTGCTTACGACATGCTGGGATATGAGACAGTGACACAATGGATGGATATGGATAACACTATAAGTCCTTCCTCCTTAAAATAATAGCAAGGGTAAAAATTTGACTTTGAAGTTGACTTCAGTAATTTTTTATACCTCTGCTGCATGTCCATATGTACAATGAAACACTATAGGAAATGAATTCTAAGATTTCTGGATTATGAGTAGTAACCTCTGTGGATGTAAATGTACTATGTGTTGTCTGACACAAAAAGGCAGTTGGATGGACACTGTGACTGCTATTAGGTACAGGCACATTTAAGCCCTTTACATCATTTACATTTCCAAACAAGCCATTTGAAAATATATTTCACCATATTTTAATTTACAAGCATTACTCAATCAATTTTTCATAATATGTACAAGATATATTCCAACTAACTTTAATGTTTCTAAGTTGCAAAATTTACGATTTAATTTGATAGTGACAGAAATGATATTCCAGGAGTACCCACTATGCTATCAATCCCTCCTGTTGTAGCTAGTTTCTCCTGTCGCTCTTTCTCCATAAATGGGATGAGGTGAGCCACTGCCTTCTTCATCACTCGTGCAGATTTTATCACCTGGGGCAGGAACATCTTACCTGCCCCAAATAGGTCTCCAACAACACTCATACCCTAAAACAGATAAGCTTCTACTTTCAAAATAGGAAGGTGACCCAAATTCTGATTCATCAAATCTACAAAAGATCTATGTGTTGGCTCCTTTACAGAAGCAATAACTGACTCAAGTTTCAGAAATAATCATTTAAATTGATCAGAAAATTTCTTGGAAAAGAATGCCAATGTGTGATGATATATGTTATACCTTCATCAAAGGGCCTTCAATCACATTAAGCGGTCTTGGGTACAGATCTGTATTTCTCCTTGCTTCTTCAGTATCATCCACCACAAATTTATCTATACCCTGTGAAAGTAAGGTAGGCAAGGCTTAGCAATGACTGAAAAATAACTTTGATATGTACTTCAGTTATAGTGTGTTTTACTACAATATCTAACATGAGACTTGGCAAAATAGGTATGTAAAGTTCGGGATTCTGATTAAATAATCCAGCTCTCCTAAATCACAACAGTAATGCAAAATGCTTAATCAGTCCAAACCTAAAATACCAATAACACTTCTGTATTTAGACGGTAAAAATTGTTTACACGTTATGAGATAATATTCTGTGATTTTTTTCACTATTAAGGATTTTACATACAGATTTTACAAACAGAGAAAACAGCTACTGGTAAGTGCTGTTAGGTAACAAATCTTCACAACAAACATAGAATTTTACCTTTATCAGAGAAAAGGAGAGTCTCTCCTCTACTGACATTGATCTCCACTCATCGCTAACTATACCCTTCTTGGCATCAGCACTCATACTCTATAAAAAATAAAGTAAATCATCTGACTAGGGCTGAATTTGAACATAAAATAATCTCTTGACATATATATTGGCCAAAATTAGATATATTTTTACATCACTAAATTCTATTAGAAAGCAATTTCCATCTCAACAATGGTAGAAATTACTCTCAAGTTTCAATTCCAATCTTTTATATATATTCCATCCAAAATTGACATTTTCGAAGTGGAGATATAAATGTGCCTAGACTCATAGAATAGAAGCTACTGGCACTCATAATTTTTCAACAAACTTTGTCTTTTTTCTACATTTGTTTTGTGGGTGTGCTATATCCAAATCCATCTTGGGTTGATGTCATTTTTCATTTTTACTGGTTTGATACAAGCATTCCTTGCTCAGAATACCAACACACTGCAGCACAAACACAATCAAACATGCTTTAGACTTCACTTTTGACCATGGCTTGATTTAAATTGTAAAACATCATCACCAATAGGGTTATATACCTGAGCAAATGCAAGTAGTTTTTCTGTTCCATCTGGGTCCTTGTTCCACAGCAGATTTTCACACATCTCCAGTAGTTCCTTTTGGATGTCATCATACACAGGTAGACACCCAGCATTCACAATCCCCATGTCCATTCCTACCTATATACAAATTATACCTCTTCATCATACACAGGTAGACACCCAGCATTCACAATCCCCATGTCCATTCCTACCTATATACAAAATATGCCTCTTCATCATACACAGGTAGACACCCAGCATTCACAATCCCCATGTCCATTCCTACCTATATACAAATTATACCTCTACATCATACACAGGTAGACACCCAGCATTCACAATCCCCATGTCCATTCCTACCTACATACAAATGATACCTCTACATCATACACAGGTAGACACCCACCATTCACAATCCCCATGTCCATTCCTACCTATATATAAATGATACCTCTACATCATACACAGGTAGACACCCACCATTCACAATCCCCATGTCCATTCTAACATTTATTCAAATTATACCTCTACATCATACACAGGTAGACACCCAGCATTCACAATCCCCATGTCCATTCCTACCTATATATAAAAAATACCTCTACATCATACACAGGTAGACACCCAGCATTCACAATCCCCATGTCCATTCCTACCTATATACAAATGATACCTCTACATCATACACAGGTAGACACCCACCATTCACAATCCCCATGTCCATTCCTACCTATATATAAAAAATACCTCTACATCATACACAGGTAGACACCCAGCATTCACAATCCCCATGTCCATTCCTACCTATATACAAATGATACCTCTACATCATACACAGGTAGACACCCACCAATCACAATCCCCATGTCCATTCTAACATTTATTCAAATTATACCTCTACATCATACACAGGTAGACACCCAGCATTCACAATCCCCATGTCCATTCCTACCTATATACAAATGATACCTCTACATCATACACAGGTAGACACCCAGCATTCACAATCCCCATGTCCATTCCTACCTATATACAAATGATACCTCTACATCATACACAGGTAGACACCCACCATTCACAATCCCCATGTCCATTCCTACCTATATACAAATGATACCTCTACGTCATAAACTGGTAGACAACATGCATGCATTAACAATCAACTTTTACCTGTATACAAATTATTCTTTAAATCATTCACTGAGACAAAGAAATCTAGCATTCACATGTTAGGTTAAAAGATCTTCACAGATTTACACTGGAACAACATAAAAAGATTCAAAAGGAGATAATACCTGGAATTATATAACTGTGAAAAAAATTTCAAGTCAATATCTTTTTATTTTAAAGCAATTCTCAAAATCCAATAGAAATTCAGGTTTGTTATCCATGCAAAATCTCTGTTGTTGTGTGTGTGTCTTGATTTGAGCCTTCTACGAAAATCAACTGAACAAAACTACTTCATACTGACGTGGACATCAATGAAAAAGGCACACTTTACTGTAATCAAGCTCTGCCCACTCCCACAAATATCATTTATGTATGATTTCTTTATTTTGTGAGTAATTAAATATCCTCTAAAGAAGCAGTCACACAAGAATGTTTAAAGAAAAACACAAACCTTAATTGCATGATACAGAAACACACTGTGCATGGCCTCTCTCACTGCCTCCATGCCACGGAAGGAGAAAGAGAAGTTGGATACACCACCACTCACACGGGCGCCTGGTAAATGTTTCTGTAAACATTAGATGAAATTCTTACTACCAACATATGTCTTTACTATCAACCAATGTCAGTCATTCTTTATAGGATGATGTATATGAAGTGATAAAGATTTGACCTGGAAATTTATAAACATCTACTGTATGATCATTAATTTTCTTGTGGGATTTACTTTCAGTGAGTTTGGCAATAAGCTTAAGCAAATAATTAAGATGTCAACACATGTGAAGATTCATTGAGCTTAAATTATCGAGGAATATACCTGGTAAGTGTAAATAATGCTTCAGGAAATTATCAAATTTATACATTTATGTGTTATTCTTCTTTTTGAAACCAATCTAAGAAATTAATTGGTAGGAACAATTTCTAGCTTTATGCTGGTATGAAAAAAATAACCTTTTTGCAAACTTTTCATGAATGCTTCACCAATATTAAAGTTCACCTTGGCTTCCTACCTTTATATCTCGAGTAGCTTCTATGAAACTGATACCATAGATATTGTGTTCCTCAATGCCGGTAGCTATGGTGAGTATATTGGGGTCAAAGATGATGTCATTGCGGTTGAATTTCACCTTTTTGACTAAAATGTCATAGGACCTTTTACAGATTTCAAACTTTCGCTTGGCATCCGTTGCCTAAAATGAAAACAAAATTCTTCAACAGAACATTTCTCTAGTTCAATGCATTTAAATATGTGTTACAAAGTATTTACCATGTGGTTTTAATCCAGCAAAATAACTATAATTCAGTGAAATAAATTTTTATCCAGTGAAATGAATTTGATTCAGTGAAAATAAATTGTATTCTAAAGAAAAATCAATCTTCCCATGGCTTATCTCAGTAGTGAATACAGTGTTATTTGTATTTTGTTACTGCAAAAGTAAGGAGACAATATAACAAAGCTTCTATCTGACTTTGATTGGGTGATGGGTATTATAGAGGGGATGGTGAAGGGATACTGTTGTGTTTATGACATCAACATCTATCAAATTAATAAACTATAAAATAGTCATCAGCTACAGCTTGTGCAAACTAGGTTACTCAAACAAAAACTTTCAATTAAATTGCTCTAGTCTATGTATTTCAGCTATACTGATGGCATGTAAATGTTGACGGCAGGTTCTCAACTGCTCAGTGGGACAAGTTTCCTTATTACAGTTACCAGTCTCTATCAGAGTCTGATCAACTGATAACTGTTAAACTTACAATGTTAAAAAAACTCCATTCAAAAAACAGAATTTGGAATACATTGTTGACTGCAGGAGATTAATACCATTTGAGATTTATATGATGTCTGTCACCAGATTCAAATATTTTATAATGAGCTTATTTTTGGAACCTCACAGACTGAAATCCACTATCAAGAAGGTTTTATATCAATGACTAAGCAAGTACCTGTCCTTCTTCGTCGAAAGCCATGATAACAACTGCTGCTCCGTACCGCTTGATCTTCTTGGCCTTGGCAATAAAGTCCTCCTCACCTTCCTTTAGACTGATACTGTTGACTATACACTTGCCCTGGGCACACTTTAGTCCAGCCTCTACCACTGCAAACTTTGAGGAGTCTATGCAAAGAGGCACCTGAAATCACAAACAAATGGCATTGTAGGGTATTTCATCATTTTTTTTGTTTGTTTGACGGATCACACAAAGATCACATCTATAATTCAAAATGTACATAAGACATAAATGCATCTGCTCCTATAAGTTTAAATGTTTGACAATTTTGCAGAGGTTGTCAAATCTGTTTTATGACTCATTAGGCTTGACAGACGACCACACCACCTTAATATGTGGTTTTAAGATGTATGATAATATAATGATCCTGTGAGTTTCTGAAGAGGTGTTCTCAACATGTGACATTGTCTAGGATTCAGAACATGGGACAAGACCAGGAGGTGATACAACAGACAAGGGAAACATCAATTTATGCTCCCCTGCCCCCCACCCCTACCTCTCTTTCTCTCACAGAGTGGCAGCTGTATATAAAAAGAACAATACAGTGATGAAATTTATTTGTATCACCTTTGATATGTCTGGTTCAGATGCAATGAGATTGACAAACTTAGTCATAGCTGCCGACCCATCAAGCATGCCCTCGTCCATGTTGATGTCCAGAATCTGGGCTCCATTTTCCACCTGCATCTTTGCTATAGATAGGGCCTCCTAACAAGTACAATTTACAAATAATACTTATAAATGGTCATGCTAACCTTTTACTACTAGTAGTGGTGTAGACTCAACTTTAAATGTATCTAGGAAATATGTTTGAGGAGCTATTACTAAACGCTTTGAAAACATTGACAATACTCATTCATAATTTGCATTTTCATGTGATTGATAAAAAAAGAAGGATATGTAGTTTTACAGTAAATAAAAAAATGTGTTCTTTGGTGACTTGTAAGAAAGGTTTACTGGAAATTTTCCAAATATTTCAAAATCAAACTGTAATAAAATTTTTCAACTAAAACACTATGCTAAGAATCACATTCTTTCTGAGTTGGTTGGTTTAGCTGAACACTGCCTAATACAACTTCAAATTCACGTTGTCAGCTGGAAATTCAACTATTTCGGAAGCAATTTAAAAAAAAGTCATACTTCATAATTTCCATTTTTGATGAGCCTGGCAAACTTGCGTGACCCTGCCACATTGCATCTCTCCCCAATGTTGACGAAGTTAGTATAAGGGCCAATGTAGGCTGGCTCTAACCCTGCCGAGCAAAAATACAAATCATAAATAATCAGACAATAACTCACTGTTGCCCAAAGTACATAATGTTTCTATCTACTTTTCCTCCGAGTGCTACAATATCGCCTTACCTGACAATAACATGTATTCTTCTCTGAGGCTTGCAGGGGGAACTCTGGGTTTGTATTTGCCAACTTCTTCAGCAATCACCCTTACAACAAATAACAGAGTGGTCTTTAACTTCCATTTTGTAACTCTTAAAATGTACACACAAATACACAAAATCATTTTTATATTTTGGACCGGCCAAGCCTGTTAAGTTATTCATATATAAAATAAATAGAATATTTCTTCTACAGGACACCACTGTCTGACCAAACTAGTAGGGAATATTTTAACCAAAGCGTAGAATATTTAACTGATGAAGAAAATCCATAAAAAGAATAATAAACTCTCCCCCTACAGACTTGCAATTGTGTACTGTTATCCTATATTTAAAATTAAAACTTAAATCTAGTAATGATTGGTTGACAAAGCAGCAAACTTAACTAAAAAGCTGGTCATTAATATACTGGGCTTGTCAATTCATAAACAGCCTGGATACCTTGTCTGATAAACCAGGATAGCCAATTCATCAACAGCCTGGATACCTTGTCTGATAAATCAGGATAGCCAATTCATCAACAGCCTGGATACCTTGTCTGATAAATCAGGATAGCCAATTCATCAACAGCCTGGATACCTTGTCTGATAAATCAGGATAGCCAATTCCTAAACAGCATGGATACCTTGTCTGATAAACTGAGATAGCCAATTCATCAACAGCCTGGATACCTTGTCTGATAAACTGGGATACCCAATTCATCAACAGCCTGGATACCTTGTCTGATAAATCAGGATAGCATCAAAGCCTGGATCTTGTCTAAACAGGATAGCCAATTCCTGATAAACTGGGATAAATCAGCATGGATACCTTGTCTGGATACCTTGTCTGATAAACCAGGATAGTCAATTCATCAACAGCCTGGATATCAAGTCCATAGTAATACTACACCTGAAGAGAGGAAGAGGTGGTTTGGACACTTGGACGTGGACTGATAAGATATAGGTTTACCCACAGTGCTAATGTCCTACCTGATGTGTTCAGGGGTAGTACCACAGCATCCTCCAACAATGTTCAGCAGTCCATCCTTGGCAAACTCCTGCAATACAGATATAAATGCAAAAATAGAAGAGTAATTCATCTAAGATTTCAAAGTTGAATATACACAAATTTCCTCTGTGACATATCTGTTCATATTTGCTTCGAAAGACTACCATCAAAACTTACAATGTAAGGTAATCAAAACTGTTTTTTTACATTTGTATAGACAACCATCAAAATCTAATGTGGGTATATTTAAGTACTTGATGTTACCAAACCATGACATATATGTGGCTTTAAATTAATCTGAAAGTGAAGTTCACATGTTGACTTAAACAAAAGCATTTTTATTAAAAAATTGTAGGAGATAATTTTGACCCTTTAACTTGCCCAATCACCATCACACAACCAACGACTAGATGTAGAACTACAGTGTGCAAAAAATTGTAAATATAAACCAAATCTGATCAGTTCATTAAGTATCTTGTATTTCAGATAGATGTAAGGATGGAAAGGTATACAAAGCAGATACTATAACAAAAATCACCCCTTACAAAGAAAGTGGTATAACTAGAGGTCATCAAAGACATGGGTTAATCTATGATATAGGGAATACTACCTCTTGTGGAAAAAGGGTAATTTTTGTCCTATTTTGAGAAATGGAGTAATTTCGGACAAGCTTTTTTGTGCAGAATTGCTAGGGTGATAAGGTAAAAACATACGACATGCATGCAGAATACATGAACATTACATGACAATAGGGAGGTTAAACTGATATTTCTTTTTCATGATGAAATTATTTGGACACATGTCAAATAAAAATATACTGACTGACTCCGTTTTGGGGAAATATGCCCTACGTTTTCTGCATACTTTCTTGATGGAGAATTTGTTTAAACTCATTCCATTTAATACTACCGTTTGCATGTGGTAACATTTGTTTAGATTAATCCCTGAAAGCTATGATGAAGTATGTATGTCGATGTCCTGTGTAAATGTACGTGGTTAATTTACCTTCAGTTGACTTGCCATCATCTCTGGAGTTTCATCATAATCACCAAATGTATTAGGTAGACCTGAAAATAATTCAGTTGGTATTTTTTAGTGATCCTGTAAAATATCATTGGGAGAAGATACCATGAACTTAAAACATAACTTTGTATGAACCAGAAATCAATGCAAAGAGAAAGAAATCTGACATAGGATACACGCTAATTCTGAAGACAAATACTGAGTACAAAGAAACAAAACCTGCGTTAGGGTAACAAATGACATAGGCCTCTGTGTTTTTGCTGACAGCCTCAATGAATGGCCTCATCTCCAAGGCACCTAGGGCACAGTTGAGACCCAGACACATGGGTTTAGCCTGAGACACACTAATGATGAAAGCCTCTGTCGTCTGTCCAGACAAAGTACGACCACTTTTGTCCACAATTGTTCCGGACACCTACAACACAACAATAACATCCACAAGATTGGTGTCTAGATTTTCTGTTAAGATCATCAAAATGTGGAACCCTCTGTTGATTAAATGACATGGAGGGCATGTACACAAAATCTAATGTCACTTTTGGATAGTTATCTTTTCTCATTTCATAAAAATCTTTCATTCTTGAACCCTTCATGAAATTAATCAAAATCTTCACATTCAACAAGGCCTTTTGTGTTTTGTGTGTGTTTTTATTTCATTTTTTAAATTATTTTTTAAGATTTATGAAATTTAAAGTATTTTTGAATCATGTTAAACAATTAATCAAATAATTTTTTACATTGAGATAATCTGATAAATTATATATAAATAAACCCCTTGTGTTATTCTTGATTTAAGAATTGATATAGAGTGTACTTATTCAATACAACTTATCACTATGAAATAGTCTCAGTCTGAAAGAAAACCATCCAGAAAATATCACATCATCTATTTTTATCCGACTCCTCCAATCTCTGTAGCACAGATATCACAACAATTTTTTCTCTAACTTACAAATATTGGGCAATTTCTGTTCTCCCTTTCAAACAATTCTTCAATTGCAAATAAAGCTGCCTGTAAATAAAATCCATACAGAGTCATACAATTTATCTTCAAAGATATTCCGACACTACTTCAATATCAATGAACTGTATTTTCAATATATAAATGATTATAAGATATTTGCACTAATATAAATTTGTTTTCATTTAGCTTTTGCAAAGAACATTTTCATTAACATTAATTAATTAGATTTTGATGTCATGAGAAGATAAAATATATTTTTGAAAACTTACTTCAAGAAGCTCAGGTAAAGTGATATATATATTTACTCAAGATCAAAAATTATGAAGCAAAATAGTTCTAAAATACCAACAGGAATTTGATCCCTTAAATTAATTTCCCTGCAGGAAAGGTTATCTTGTGGATCCGAGAGATGTTATTCATAAATAAACAAATGATCTTTGAAAAATTAAACTTCAAAAAATTTGTTAATAAAATTAATTGCAAATTCAATGGGTTTTAAGCAAGATGAGATTGAGAAATCTAAAATGTCAAGAAATTCTGTTTTATTAGGCTTCATACATTTGTATATAGCTACCTCAACATTGAATTGTAATCCCTTCCCACTTAATCAATTATAGAACCAATCATACATCTACTTTTTGATTACAAGAAAAACAAGTTATATAAAATAAACTGCTGAAATAAAAGCTACAATACATACTTTAGAATTAGCTGTGTCAAATATTGTTTCCACCAATAACACATCTGCTCCTCCTTCCAACAGACCACGGGCCTGCTCTGTGTAGGCAGAGACTAGCTCATCAAATGCTGCAATATGTTACATTCCATGATTTAATTGGACAATAATCTGTTCATTACCCTAGGTATTTTTGTAAGTGGAATAAACTTGTAGATACAATCTTATTTTTTGCTAAAGTACAAAAGAACTTTGGAATAAAGCAGGAGAGTTTTGAAAATAACCCAAACTGTCATATATATATCTATTTATCAAACATAAACGTTAATTTTACAACCACTACTGAACAACTGACAGTACATGCACATACTGATGTTACGGAATTCTGGTCGTTCCACTGAGGGTGATATGGACAATGTGCGATTTGTTGGTCCCATAGCTCCTGCTACATACCTGGGCACACCTGGGTAACACAGAACAACTTGTTAATGAAAAAAGTCACAACGCAGGAGTTCTGTTTCCAGTTTCTTACAACAGGAAAATTAATGTTAACACACGTTTTTGTAAGCTGATCTCAGTAGTACAAGAGTCAGTCGGAAGAAGTTGTTTCCAAAAGCCATCCTCAGAAGAGGTGAATCTAGAGGTAATACCTCTTCTCTCAACACTAATGGCAGACTTTCATTTTCCGATTCCCACAAAACAGTTTACAATTGATGTATATAAATTCTAGATCAAGAAACCATGTCTTTTAAGAGACTATTTCTGATAGCTTAAATGTACATCTAAGTCCTGTAACTTTTTAATCATCTCCCTTTCAGAGGGTACTAAAAGATCCTTATCTTTACTGGAACAATTAACATCCCAGTAAAAAGAAGTTCTCAGGTTCCTTCAACAAATTATTTTAAATTCTCTTAATCCATCATTGGACATGACACAAAAGCTCTTTAAGGAATAATGTATAAATATCTGTAATTAATATTGATATCTTAACATTTGAAAAATGTACATATTTCTATTGAAGAATAAAAACAATACCTGTATTCCTTGTAACATCAGCACAAGCCCTTTTAGCAATCTTTGCTGCTTCACAGTTAAGACGAAATGTCTACAATTAGATATGTATCCTTCAGTTATACTCAAAACTTAAAGTGAACATCAGTGTCTTAATTATATTTCTTCTTTTGTTTTCATTTTCAATTAAATTCATTTTCAAAAAATACACAAGGTTCTTTTTTATGTATAAAGCATATTTCCTGGTAAAGTAAGCTGATCAGAGACAACAAATTAGTTTTGTTCTACTTAAGCAATGGTGAGTATTTTTTACAAAGTGTCAATACATGCAGTAGTACATATAATTTTTCCTTATAGATGGATTTTCTTTTAAAGTTAACCAACGATCAAAATTTTCAACATTTAAGCATGATAATATTCCCTTTCTAAATTCAAAAAGTACTTTATTATGTATTATTGATAATGGTATGACTGTGTGATATAATCTGTATTGTAGATATGTATGATGACTTTGTAACACTCAGTTAATATGATATATGAGAGAATGTCATTAATTAATGTACTGACTAAGTCCTCAGTGCCGTAGTCTGCCTGGGCAATCCTTGTTCCACTGAATGTGTTTGTCTCCACAAAGTCAGCTCCAGCCTCCAGATAATCCTTAAAATCAATACTTGTCAATAAGTTATCTAACCTCATTAGAAAGTTCAAAGCTTTGCCGTAACTTTTCATGTACTTCAAGATATAATGAAGATATAGTGAATTTATTGCTTAAGGCGAAATAATACTGAATTGAACTAAAATTTTCCAGCAATGGAGATATATATATTTTAATTCAAGATAAAATCAATAGATTTTATCATTACATTTTTTTTTACATGTCACAAAAACTTTTTGACATGCATGTATGAACTGATATTTCAATTGTTGTTTTTGGAACAACATCAACATCTTTAAAACTTAATAAATTATAAAACAACAAGTAAATTTAAAAGGGAGATTTTGAATTTTTTCTTCTTTTTCAATTTTTAAAAATTTTTAGTGATAACAACTTCCAAGTATAAAAAAAAAGTGTTTAAGGGGTGTAAACAATTCTAAAATGAACAAAACACTCAAAAGAAGTGGAATAACAGCATACTTTATGTATCTGATAGATTATATCTGGTTTTGTAAGACTCAATATGTCATTGTTTCCTTTTAAACTTTTGGGGTGGTTTTGGAATGCTGAGCCTCTGAAATCTTCTTCCTCAAATCGATATTGCTGAATCATGGTTCCCATCCCTCCATCAAATATCATGATCCTTTCCTTCATCGTCTGACTCAGCTGTTCACCCAATGAAACTGAAAAAAATGAAGATGAGTATTATACAGGAAATGTTTCATTTTATTTAATATTGTTGTGTTTAGCTCTAAATTACATACAATATCTTTTAATAAATTGAATCACCTAAATCATCATTTTCCACAAGAGGATCTCTTTTCATGAAAGTCATCTACATGTACCATAAACATGCACAAAGACATTTGTAAGATATCTTGTTAGATTAGTAACTTTGAATTGGTTAATATATTGATGCCAGAAGATATAAGTATTATGGACTGATAAATACACATGTAGCTATTGAAGGGAATAATGGGCCTGTTCATTCTGATGTACATACATAAGTGCTATTCAACATTTGACCATTTCCCTGCTTGACACATTATATTTAGAACTTTCTATGCATGGTAATAGAGTAAATATGGTAATATATATATTTGTGTGTGTATATATAATTTCATTCTACATGGCACATTGAATATATTCTATAGTAATTGTCTTACATATTATGGTTTCAAAATTTCTCTAGATGAAGAAATATGATTATATAAAGACTATCATAAATTCATCAATGTGTATCAATGTTAAATACTATTTTTAATGTTTTAAATTGGTAAAACACCAATGTTGCATAACAATAATTCACATGCAGTTCTTATCAAAAAGAATAATTTTTACAATATTATCATTGATTTTACATTCAGTGTAAATGATAGCTGACATCATTCCTACATTATGATGGCATATTAATTTTTTATAAATATTTGTATAAAGTTCAGCAGTTCAAAATAAATACAAGTCAACATGACTGGCAATTCATTCATTACTGAAATGAATCACATCCTCATCCCAACAAAGGGCAAGTTTAAACAACATGAAATTACTTATTTAAATATAATCATAATTTTATAATGACAAACACACTTACAAACAGAATGAAAATAGAAAAAAATGTGTGTGTCTATGTGTGTTCTTTTTATTATTACTATCATTATTCTTAATATTTTTATTTTTTCAATTTCTACATCATTAAAGTAAACTCTTTTTTAACATTGAGCAAAGGTGTAAAAATCATTTAAAATACTATAAAACAAGGCACTGTATGCATACATTATTTGTATTTACATAACTGTAACGTAAGGTCAACCCTGTGGATATAACAGTACCGGATCTAATCATTTTTAAGCAGAACTGATAACAAACAGGATATGTCCTGAATTCACACAGTTGTACAGTTACATGACATCACAAATATTGATGTTTCTTGAGACATATATGTAGAGTAATCAACAATTCTGAACATTTCACCTCACCTGTTTACTTAACAAGCGACCCGAAGGCCTTAACATTCACCTGAGTCACAATGCTTCTTGTAACATGTCATAGAAATGATTTTGTTAAAAAAAAAGAAATATAACTTTAACGATATTGTACACATAATGCAAATATAAATTATGTGTACATTGATTACTGTCCAATGCTAAGGCTTCTAATCAAGTTTGAATTAAAAGAAATTACACAAAAAAAGTGAGCCCCTGGGGTAATGAAATTTACAATTTTGGTAAAGCATCTGAAAGACTTTCCATCTATGAAGAATACATTATTCTACAATACCTGGGATCTGGAAAGAATATTTTTGAAATTTTGAAATTTTAGTCAATTTAACCCATTCTGGGCCCCAGTAAACAGTCCCTTGGAGTCAGCCGAGGTCCATATATGCATTTCATTAAACTGTCATCTTGACTAGTAAGTCTATCCAGGTTTCAACTACTTCAAATAGAAAAAAAACGAATAATGTTCAAAAAATGATTTCCTATATAAACTATAGTAAACTTTACCCCCTCCCCATGGGGATATGCGAGACCCTGGGGTCATGAAATTTACAATTTTTGGTAAAGTATCTGAAGGCCTTTCCATCTATGAAGAGTATATGATTCTCTCATACCTTGGATTTGAGAAGAAAAATTTTTTTTTTTAATTCTGTCAATTTAACCCATTTTTGGCCCCATCCAACAGCCTCTGGGGGTCAGCCGAGGTCAGTATATGCATCTCATTAAACTATCATCATAAACTAATAATTATATCCAAGTTTCAACTATTTTCAATAGAAAATAAAACAAATCATGTTCAAAGATATAATTTTTCTGTATAAACTATTGGAAATTTTACCCCCTCCCCCAGGGAGAAATACGAGACCATTGGGTAATGAAAAAGACATATAAATGAAAAGAAAGTAGAAAAATCTAAAAATAGATTTATTTTAAGACAAGCCACGATGAACACGACTACCTAAGTCGGCGAATTTTTTCATCTTTTATTGTACACCATTTTTCTCAGTATAACTATTGTTAATGCTTAATTTGGCTGAATAGATATTATGAGATAAACTCATATTTGCGACAGTGAAAGCACTTGCTGGTGAAGGGGAAGTAACTACGTTGTTTCGTAACTATGTTTACTTCATACACGTGTAATTATTTTATTTCGAGTCCATAATTAATAATCAACCAACAAACCATTGGGTGAGGTTACTCCGTCTGATAATGTTGGGGGCATGTTGCTGAGTTGGGGCCCCTTGACGATGCTTGGTGCTTGTTTTTCGTCTTCTAAATTTCCATCAGCTCCCAGTCAGATGTTGACACTTCGCGGCCAGCCGACCAAATGCTTCTAGACAGGAAATACCCATAATCCTCTTCATGCATTCGGACACCAAATGTGATTAAAATACCCAAAGGTATTCCGAATGATTTCCTGCGCATGCGATGTGGACTAGAGGAAGTTACGTTGTTTGCTTCGTGGAGGTGCTTGTGTATTGCGGTGTTGTTTAGTGACTTTATTTGACAGAAGAGAAGTGAGAAGTCTGATCTTACACAGTCTTTTACTGTTTTTATTACACCATATATAAGGACAATCAAAAGACTGAGGTAAATATATCTAATATGCATATGGAGTGAATCAATCCTCCCTAGGCGTGTCGACTCCGCCGGCTGTCAGATCAAAATGACAGTGAAAATCGTGACTGACTGATAGGATTATTTACCATCCATGTATAGAAGTGTCATACTCTTGATATCTATCGCATGTTTTAACCCTAATATGCTCCGTCTTTTATTTACAATAAATTCAAGGATATGCCTACAGATAATTTTCTATTTCGTTAAAGTTTTGAAAATACACAACTAAAATACACAAAACAGGTTACCATATTTTCCGAGATAAATAAAGTTTTATTTTTATTTATTCATATCCTTTATATAACTTCCTGTTTAAATGAAACAAATTTTAACCCACGTAAAATTTTTTATATGAAATTTGATAATTGTATACAAGTGTCACTGTAGCTCTTTGTTGCCATCTAAAATCTGAAATGGTTAAATATTGCCAATCCCTTCAGAGATTCCTCCATGGGAGTCATTTATATTGGATGTTTGGCAATTTCCTTCGAAAAAAATGAGTCCCACAAAGGAATGCCCCCTTCAAATCACAGAAGAGTTAAGTTAATGCTTTCCCTCTCCTGTATCATTAAAAAATACAATGCAACTTCCACAAACCAACCCTTCTCAAAACTGATCACCCATGTAATTGAATAAAAATTACTTCAGAAAACTGGCCTTACTTGAGCAATCATGACTGGAATTCAACCAACAAACCGTGAAATCAACTTCTGTGGCAACAGTAAGCTTTGTGCACCTAACAAAACCTGTCATGGCAAGGCTTTATAAAAAATATCTTCTATGACAGAGAAGGTTATGATTAACATTTATATATGATTATCATCAATGAAAAGAATAAACCATCTGAAATGAATCCATCATTTCACTGAAGCAAAATAGGGCTTTCTATACACACATTAAAAATAAGTTTTAGCTTGAACCAACATTTTATTGGAGTATGCTTCTTCCCATTTTCATTGTGATATTTGGTAACTTCCACTTATATTTAAAGTTGCCTGTAATGGGTTTATCTGAACCAGACACTACACAACTCCCAGTGATTTTCTCTGAATGGTATTTTCATTACACATAAAATGATCTAAGATATGGTTATTATTGAAAAATAGAAACTTTGGCCAACTCACTTGAAGTGCTAATGTTCATGTTGTAAATTACTTAATATGATCATATTAATTGATAAATACATTGGTTGAAATGGAAAGGTTGCTAAACTTAATGATCTTTATTTATAAACTGTAACACAACTTTTATGGAGGACTCAATAGCTCACATGGTTTTGCCATCGTAGCCTCATATGAAGTTCGGAGGTGCGTGGTTAATATCCCCCACCCATGATGGTCTGTGTTTCCCAGAAAGCTGCATGAGAAACTGACCGGTATGTGCCGATACAGTTGTGCCCTTGGGACCCTGTCTCAAAATGACCCCAGCTTTTTACATGGCAATAGAACTATCAAACAAACAAAATGTTTTGAAGAATATGAAAAGCGTATTAAAGCATGCTTTTGTCTTTATTTAGTTGTTTATATGCAGTGATTTGTGAAATATGATTTTGTCTCCTTTTAGAATCACTGACTTTATGGTGATGTAAGGTGCTAAATTCCAAATGATCGCTAGACGTAGGAGAGTTAACTCTGGATCTGAAAATCATCAGGAACAACAATACAACACCCAGCACAGTGGGACCACTTTTGTAAGCGGGAGCCCGTCATCGGCCCCAGCAGCACATCTAGACGCAGAAATGTCATGTCGAGACCGTTCCACAGAGTTTATGTCTGCAGTGAAACTCCTGCAATCACGACAGGTACAATGACTTTGTATCAATATTAAATTCAATTGAATAAATTTAAAAACAGTTTTTAAATTTGAATACAAATGAATGGTTATGGTATTAAATATTGACTGACATGTTATCTAGAATTCATCTCAAACATATTCATTGATCTTATAAGTATATGAAAGTGAATTTGGGGAAATACAAGGTACATGTTTAGCATTCTGTTTAAACATTTGCAATACAAGTACCATCAAGAGTGTATCAAGGGTTCACATGTATTGTGATATTTTACATATTTACTCAGGAGATGCAGGTAATTGTTAAATTAATGCATGAGGTAATTTACCTTTTGATCAGTTAGCTTCTGATATTTACAGGGAAATGGAGTTAATCATCAGAAACAGAATCATGCCCTCAGACAGAGAAGTGAATTTACACAGAAAGCAAAGTAAGTAAACCTTCTTAATGTAGGTAAAATAAAAACATGTTTGATCAAAAAACATTGTTATTATCATGTAACCTTTGAATACTTCAATTTCATTGAAATTTCATTGTTTTAAATGATTTTTGCTTTGTTTTCAGAGCTGTGGGTAGAGACTTGTCCAACACATTTTCAAAGCTTGAAAAGCTCACAATTTGTAAGTGTCTTTGTGTTTTAACAGAAGCAATTGATGGAAATAATTAAGATGCATGTTATTATTAAAATAAGAAAAAGAGAGGAAGGGATCATTTTGACTGTTAAGTCTTGAAATGTGTTTTATTTTGTGACTGTTGCCATCACCCTTTTCTCAGACTGAGAAAATGTTCGATATTTCAAAATAAGTTAAAAATTTGTATCAAAAGCCTTACAAAATTGTAAAAAAAAATAGAAAGAAAAAAAAAGGACACCTTGCAGTGTAGTACTACAAAACCTGTGTTTGTTTTAGGGTTATATAAAAGTTTGATACATGCACCATCACTTTTTCTCTCACTGTGCTTCTTATATCCCCACCATATTATGAGGACCTTCCCCAAGTCAGTGTTATCAATCTAGTGCGTTTGTTTTTAAGAGATTTGATCAAAATTTATGAAAATGTCTACTAACAATACCTCAGAGCATTTGTTGTTACTGCTTTCTAAGGTTAAGGCCACTGTTAATATTTATAGAATGTATAGAATATATATATATTTGAATGCACAGGAGTGGGGCCATTTCTGTCTGGTAAACATTCACATAATTGTTTTTAATGATTTTAGATAATTTCATGCATTTCATTTTTATTTTTGATATCTGTCTTTCAGTGGCTAAGAGGAAGTCATTATTTGATGATAAACCTATTGAGATACAGGAGTTGACTTACATCATCAAACAGGACATTACCAGTCTAAACAAACAGATTGCAATGTTGATGAGTCTGGCTCGGTCACAGAGCTCTCAAAATGGCCGCCACTTACAAAGTCATTCCAACACTGTAGTTGTATCACTACAGGTAAGTTAGCATTGTCAAAAGGATAAGAAAAATCTTAAGTTTCAGTTAGGCTCACTCCATTGGCAAAGTTCAAGGATATACTTGTACTGAATTCTCCATGAAACTTGATACTCAAGATTTTATCAGGAGTTGCTTCCCTTGTACTGTATCATAACTGAATTTCTTCAAAGTTTCAATCCCAGTGAAATTCGTGTGCAGATATATACTCTTATCACTTTGTATATACGAGAAAGGATTGCCACATATTTTGTCACTTTTACAAGTCTTATTTAACAGGATACATATTAATTAATTTTTTTTTTTTTCAGTCAAAACTGGCTTCAATGTCCACTGACTTCAAACAGGTACTGGACGTGCGAACAGAGGTAAATTGATATAGTGGACACTGCTAGGGACAGTGATGAATATGATTTTGAATGAATTGGTTTCAGTTCCTATCCATAAACATAAGCACAAAAATATTCAACACTGACAAATTTTTTGTTCATAGTTGTTTTGTTTTAATTCAATAACGATGATGTCATTGATGTAGAGTTAGTTAGCATGGATGAATTGAACAGATTTCTTATTTCAAGTGATGTTTGTTGAATTGTTTATTGGTGAGTTCTGAATATCATTTTGATGAAGACTTTCAAAAAATGTAATACATGATGTAGTGTCTGACAATTATTGCAAATCAGCTGTGTTTCTGTCCTGAAATTGTTGCTTTTCTTTATAGGCAATATAAGAAAAGAAGAAGAAAAAATATACCCTTTGAGACATTTACAGCAGAGATAGCCTACAGCATTTTCTTTTTAGAACCATATGAAAATGTAAAACAAAGTTGACTTATAGAATTTATGTCATATAAGAGCTGTTCTTTTTAACATTTATTTGAAAATATTAATCCAGTTACCAGAAACAAGAATTTTTTGTGGTTTTATATGTAATAAGTTATTTGTTTACAGAACCTGAAACAACAGAAGTCAAGACGAGAGCAATTTTCACAACCTGTCGGTGCCACACCAGTTGCATCATCAGGATTTGGTGACAGAAGTGAGTGAATTTTCTCCCTCCTACAGAAAACTTCTGTTATTAGTGATCAATTCAGTGTCAGATTCAACAACATTTGTGCATTTCTTATCACAAATATGTCACTTTATGTCATACAAAATTTAATAGTCTTTGCAGTTTTGAATGAAAATATCTTTAAAAAATTTTCTTTAATCTTGGTCACAGATTGTTGGAACATTTTTGACAAAGACATTGACTTCTATTGTGAAAACACTAGCAATTTCTGAAATTAACAAATTGATATTTTATTGTTGTCTGCCATACCTGAAAGATCTTCATAAAGAAAAGTTTTCTTCTTGTCCAACTCCCAGATAATGTCATGCTGTATTTAAGAAACAGTTTGATTTTTAATTTAATAAGAAAAAATTTGTTAAGAACTCCAATATTTTTTAAAATCCAGAAATTTTATGCATTAATTTCATTAGTCAAATATGACTTCCTTGCAATTTTTTGAGAGTAATTATTCTATTTATATCCCTCCATAATGCCAATCCCTAATTAATATTAAGTATCAATTCATAGGATATTACTTAAATCTATGAAACTGTCGCTATTTCTTATAGTGGCATACATGACAAAAAGGAGCAAATGTCCTTGACTGCATGTGATGGAATGGCTATTGTTTTGTAATGTTGTCTCTAACTTTTATCTGGTGGGACTTTAGGTCAATCAGTCTTACTTCAAGACGAAGCCAACCACATGAATGGGTCAGCACAGGGTGGAGATTTCATTCTTAACATGGATGGACAATCTGTGGAAAAATCCAAATATCAACAGCAAATGCAGATCATTGAAGAACAGGTAGGATTTGCATTTGGTGATTAATATAGAGTATTTGCCATGTATACAGTTATTTACATATGCCATAAACATAAAAAAAAACCTGATGAAAAGGGATTATGTGAAAACTTTACATCCTTGAAGTTTTCTCTCTTGGATAGTTTAAATCTGCATATTTTTCTACAGATGAAGTAAATAACAGTAATTTTGCAAATAAGTCTATCTTTAAAATATTAATGTATTTAACAGTTCTGTTTTGTTTTCAGGATTCATATATACAAAGTCGAGCAGAAACGATGCAAAATATTGAGTCTACAATCGTGGAATTGGGATCTATATTTCAACAATTTGCACACATGGTAAAAGAGCAAGAAGAAACAGTACGAAGGTAAATTTCATTTAGGTAGCAGATCTTGTCCCTTTTGCTACCCAAAACTACAGTGAATACACTAATAAAGGTCTTAGACACCACAGGAAAGTTTTCTGCATTGAAAGTTTACTGTTCGGAGGTACTTGATGTTAGAATATGCAACAAATTTGCAATGTGAAGTTCTTTGTAAAAAATGTGCTTTTAAAAAAGTTATTACACCCTAGGTAGCAATATTTTTTTTAATTTTATGTACATTGCCCATATAACATTTAATATTATGTGTCACCATCTCTGTTGCAGAATTGATTCAAATGTTGAGGAAACACAAATGAATGTGGAGGGAGCACACAGTGAAATATTGAAATATTTCCAGTCAGTGACTTCTAATCGGTGGTTAATGATAAAAATCTTCGGTGTCGTCATTATTTTCTTTATATTCTTTGTTGTGTTCATGGCATAAGAAGCGTCCAGCGATATTGTTGACACTCTGCAGAGAAAATGGTAATAACATCGGATCATGAGAATCATGGAACTTGTTTCAGATCAGGCTGAGGATCTTTCAAGTTATGACTTTATATTACCTAATACAACAGTAAATTGCCTGGATGTATTCTATCTGAAATTGATTTCATCATGATCAGTTATTCTTCAAACATCCTAATAAGTTTTCACCGAAGTATTAATTCATAAAACATATACCAAAAAGAAGAAAGGGCAACATGTTATGAAATTTCCTTACACAAATGTCGTTAATTAACTGACAGCTTTAGGGATCAGGAGTTGAAAAGGACACAGAAATTAGAACTCCTTCAAGGAAAGTAAATATTGTTTTAAAAGCAATATTACGTCAGGAAGGAAAATACTATGTGAACATTTTTGAAATATTATTGATACGCCAATATATTGAATTGGATTTTTATTTATTTGAAAGTTGTAAGTAGTGCATACAATGATGTACACAAGAAACATACAACTAGACGATTGCGGTACACTATGGACCTTCATGGCAAATCGTGTACAGACATACTATATTGTGCCAACACGAGTCTTGCTGGTCAATGTCCAGTGAGAGTGACACTCTGTCCAGTGGTGTGATGACCATTGGTCTTGTACAGCTACCTGCTGAACACTGTGATCAATCTCAAGGATGCCTTCTGTATATATGGTATCCTATTATTGATTTCAAATTCACAAATTGTTCTACACAGAGCAAAAAAGATTGTAATCTATGAAAGTTTGAAATACAATGTGCAATCAATGATTGTGTTGTTTGTTGTGATTTTGAATGAAATAATTGATATGATACTTGCATTTAATTACTCTGTTTTCAGTTTTATATCTGGAAAAATAAATCTGCAGATCTTTTGGGAATTCATAATTTAGTCATTGAAACAATTTAAGGATATTTTTTGGTATATATATATACATATATATAACACTTCATTATCAATATTTAGACATTTTACTAGGACTGCTATTGAACACCAGTTTCATTTGTATCAGTAAGTAATGATTTGTATCACATAGCAGGATTTCTTCAGAAAATGTAGTTTCTTCTGATCTCTTGTGATAATGTTTAGCTAATGCACATTTTAATTCATTTCGTTTAAGTTTATGAATGAATATAACATGAAAGTGAAATTCCAAGTATTGAATAATATTTTCATGGTGTAATAGATCAAGAGGCCCAATGGACCTGCATTGTTCACCTGGTATTGTGGTATAATGTTCATCAAAAATAGAATTGGTGTTTATATCACAAATATATATTGACGTGTACACCAGTGGCATTCAAAATGGACACATCCAATCAATTTTGACCAATTTCAACAACAAACATCTTCTAATACTCAACTCTAAACAGTGACAGTTATAACCTGGATTTTAAGTGAATGCCATTTCTATTTTCCTTGATATTTGTTTGTGCTTTGACCAAGAAGCACCTTTCCACTAAATATAGCGCTTCTCAGACTTTTAGTTTACAGGGAAGTCTTTTACAAGTTTCAAAAAAATTGATCCCCGAGACCTTCAATATAGGTCAAGGTCATTTTTTTCTGAAATCGGAGGTACCTGTCAGTCAAACACCATGCATCTGCAGCCTTTGGTTAAACAGAAGTTATTTCTAGACTTTCATTAGTTTGACAACTATGACCTTGAATAAAGGTCTTGGTCATTTCTTTTCACAAACTTTTTCAGGCTCCATCCTAGGAACTTATCACCCCAACATCATGATTAAGTTTGTCAGAAGATGTTGTTTTAAAGTTTTAGCAAATTTGACAACTGTGACCTTGAATAAGGGTCAAGATAATTTTCTTTTCCCATATTTTGTTAGTCTTATCTAAGAAACCCACCAGTCTAATACCATGATGTTTGGGTCTGCTGGTTATTGAGAAGAATTTGTTTAAATTGAAAAGTTGACAGCAGACCTTGCGCCATGGCATAAGCTCATTTGGCCCTTCGGGCCATGTGAGCTAAAATTAACCAGCAACATTTAAAAAAAAAAACCGTTCTCTTTAAAGTGACCGAGTAATATATTCACACTGTAGACTGTAGCAAAATGAATACCAGGAATATGTATCATGATACATGTATTTCTGAAGTATTTATCTCAAATATAGTTCACTGATAAAATTATGTATGTGTCACTATATATGTATCACTGGAGAAGTGTTATAAAATGTTTCAAAGTTTGTACTGCTGCCTAAAATCCACTCCTTACCTGGCATGTCCTCCAGGTGGAGAGTTGACAGTGATTGGCCTGATCATTGCCCTGAATTGCGTCAAGCTCCTGTTTTCTCTTCACTGAAGTCAATTGCACGATTTCTTTACAAATTTCAACCATCACTTGAAATGCGGCATCCTGTCTTTGCCCTTCATCCCTACTGCTGAGAACATTCTCCAGAGTGATTTTGGTAGAACTCTTCACTGGAAAGGTGCACAGCTTGTATCATGCTCCTCTAACATCTTCTGACAGTCTGTCGTATTTTCCCTATTACTCCCTCTTATTGTTCCCCGAAGGCATAGTGAGCTCCTTCCTTATTCGCTTCCCATGCTGTGATCAGAGGAGAATGTCCCGGCGTAGGTTTGTGTAAGTGATGTCGGGAAAAACCAAATTTAAACAATTCACAATATTGATAGAAAAAATAACATTGCAAATCTTATGTCTTCATCATGAAACACAAATCGGTACATGACAGAGATGACGTCTAGAATGCCTCGTGTTCATCGAACTACTAACATTGTTATGAGCAATAGTTCGATTTTAAATATTTCAGAAACGAAGTACTTAATTTTAGTGTTATTCAATATTTATCTATATTGTTTGATCTAGAGGGAGAAATCTGCTATTGTCCTTTTAAATAAACTGAGAATTACCGTGATCATCTTGTAAGGCCATGCTGAGACAAGGACTGCTGTAGTGTGACGTCACATTAGACAATCCTTTTTAATTATTAGCAATGAATAACACGTGTTTCCACTATATATCTTCCATAAATCGATTACTTAGTATGGACTATTCTCTTACAGATGATGTTTACGTTAGGATTAGAATGAAATACTCACAGTGACTTATCGACCAGAAATCCACCTGGATTTATACCATATGTCCAATTACCATGGGTGTCAACATCTCACCTATCCTGTCCAGCGCCACCCTATCTAATAAGATAGCGATCGACAGTGTCATGGACTGCCGACTATAAAATATCAACGCGATAGAAAAGTTACTGGGAAATGTCAGGCTAAAATTAAACTGATATAATATGACACTTTATCAGTTAAAAATGGCAAATTGGAAATTTAAAAAAGAAAGAGAGACAATAAAAATACAGATACATGTTTGAAAAATGTCCAAAAAAATACGGATTCCACTGAAATTTATCAATATTCATGAAAAGATATCTTGGAACAACGATTTAAAAGAAAAGAAAGACAGAAACAATTGTGTTTAATCAGAGTAAAGTTCAGTAGCTCCAAATATCTGTCATGAGAAATCGCCAGCGTGGTCATTCTTAATTCGACTAGACATAAACCGGCCGACACGTGGGCGGGCTTCGATATCAGCGTTTGTCCATTACGTTAAATTGCAGAGAGTCGGTAAGTGTAACACAATCGTGGAGGTGTAGTTTTCAACAGGAAAATAATCGGTAGGTTCGCGACAAAACCGAAAGGACACGAGGTTGTTATGGTTTTTATTGATTTCTGATTATACTGGCACTCGAGCTGATATTTCTCCATTCACGACAAGCACACACGTTGTTGCCACATACTTGTGAATGCTGGAGGATACACTGTACATGAACTCGTTTGAATAACATGATGGTCGGCTACAATATTTGGTTTTGGATGATAGTCTTTCAAGCGTTAACGATTCCACCAGTTTTATCAGTGTCCTACACTTCAACCTCGTGTGTCTGTCTGTCAGAACCTGTACAATCTAGAGACTTCATCAGTCCGGTGGCATTCATACAAGACAATAGTAGATACCTTGTTGTCGAGCAGAGTGGGAAGGTACATTCCTATTCTTTGTCGTGGCGGAAGTATGAGGTATTGTTCCTGGATATGACGGACAAAGTGTCGTTTGATCCAAACACACAAGACGAACGAGGGCTGCTTAATCTCGTTCTGCATCCACGTTTTAGAGATAACAGGAAACTATACACGTTTTCAGTCAGGACATTACCAGACGGACATGATTACGTTATTGTTTCAGAGCTACAGGAAAAGAACGGGTATGTAGACACTAAGAAAGAGAACATTCTGCTGACAATACGACAAACATCTCCTCACAGGAATGGCGGTGCGGTGAGTTGATGATTGCATGAAAGATGTAAGATCTATAATAATTCTTATTTTGTGATATTTCTTTTGAATCTTTCAATGTTTGATTTCTTCTTTCTCTCCCTATCAACATCCAATATTTCGAGGATGTGAAAGTCAAAGCATTACTTTGGCCAAAATGTTCTTTCTGGCTGACCGCAGAACAATTATAGAATTAATATGTTATAACACTTTAGTGCAATATACTAATATTTGTAATTCTAGCTGCTGTTTGGTCCTGACGGGTTCTTGTATGTAGGTTTGGGAGACGGAGGCACCCCAGCTGACTCCGGCAATGAGCAGGTTGCTACGCAGGCTCAAGATAAGTAAGAAATATAATCACGATATACATCATTGATCTTCCTGATAAGTATTCTCGTTTTTGTTCAACTTTCAACCCGCTTAAATACTGAACAAAGTAATATTATCTTCAAGTATCATTAAAGGTTTGTTTAGACGATACTGAAATTGTCTCCTTACAGAAACAGCCTCTTGGGTAAGCTGCTACGAATCAATGTCGATAGTTTGAACTACACTATCCCAAACGATAATCCGTTTGTCAAAAACACCACAGGCTGCCCAGAGGTTTTTGCCTACGGATTCCGAAATATCTTCAGATGCAGTCTTGATACATGTAAGTCTACAAACTCATTATGATGCTAATGCAGTTAAGGCAGTTAGGGTCAAGTTGAACGTCTTCAGAAAATAACTTAGTAATGATGATAAAGGAACCTTTTATGAATTTGGAAGCTACAATGTTTTTTCTCAACATGCCACGAAAACAGCATTTATTATTAGTTTTCCTTTCAGTGCATACATAAAGTTTTACCATAACAGTGAAATCTGAGGAGCAAATTGTAAGATTTGGAACAAACTGGGTTTTGACGTGAAAGGCGAAATGAAATTGTTCAAACTGTACTGCATACAAAGATATTTAACAAAAAATAGATAATGTCACTAGAACCATCGTCTTTTGTTGCAGGCAGTAAATTTATATATGTTGTGTGTTTCGTTTCTTCATAAATTGTCAATTGTCAATGCGGCGTGTTTGGATGTTTTCTTCAGATAGTAACGAATTGTTCTGCGGAGACAATGGCAATCATCATCAGAATGAAATCAACATGATCAGAAAAGGAAGAAACTACGGCTGGAACATCAAAGAAGGAAACTTTTGCTTAGCGCCGAATTTGTGTGATCACATTGGTATCATCTCCCTCATGCATGATAACCATACGCCTGAATTATTCTCACGCTAAATCAGCCTAGAGTTGATGACCATCTGTACTGGAAGGATATAAGCAATCTGCTCATAAGTCGGCATTTAGTACGGACTAAATTACCAAGTCCTTTTCAATATTTAAAGGTTTTAGAAGGGTAACACATAAAAAACAAGACGTTTTCAAAAATCCTCTGTCCAATTTTTCAGCATCAGCATTTAGAATAAATATATATTCTTCTTTCCATTTTCGTTCGTACTTGTTATTAAAGCGTTTAATGCAATAATAAGAGTAGATACAAATTATAGGATACAATTGCTGATGTGGGAAGATTTGATATAACATGAACTATTAGTATACAAAAATATAGTAAGTGTTATTTTCATACTATTATGTATTGTGTTTTTTTACTTGCAGCTGACGAAGAGAAGCCGATATTTACTTACAACAACTCCGGTAAATACAGTGCTGTAATAGGAGGCTACGTCTACAGGGGAAAGGCGTTCAGGTCCCAATGGTTCGGGGACTACATCCACGGGGATTTCTCCGGGTATGTACATACTGAAACGATCCATGCTAGATTGATTGATATGCTTTGCACTGTCGGATAATAAGATATATGACATTTGTAGCTAGCCTCCCATGATGTTGCCACGATCGTCGGGTATTATAACATAGTTCCTTTGTTCTCGCCGTTCCTTTCCGTGTTTGTTTTTCTGAATGTAAATACATAAGCTTTATTTCAAATCCAGTTTTAATTACCCTATTCCGACCTGAAGGAATAACTTCATTAACTTCAAGAAACGCTGTGACCTATACTGGTCAGTATTTTATGAAAAGTACGCCTAAAGCCAATACGAAAAATACTGAAGATAACATTTTTCAACAGGCTATTGGCATAATCATGCTTTCCTCTGGCTGACTTGATTTTTGTGAAGCTTGTCAAAATGACACCAATACCTTGCCAAGTCCTTCAATTTCGCGTTGTATATTAGATACATTGGTAATGTGTTGTCTTTTTATAACTTTTAGAATATCTTGAAATAAATTTATCATCATGTCCATCGTCTCTACCCACCAGATAATCGAAGACACAATAGACTTTTCTTAAACAACTTTGAACTTTTCTTGCAGCAAAGTTTTATGATAAGCGTCATGTTTTTGGAGTTTTTTATCGGCCTATGGTGATATTTCCAGTTAAAGATGATAATATTTCGGTTTCCCAACCAATGGTCTCAGTAGATTCAATATCCAAGGGCTTGTTCAAAGAATCAGATTTTCGGAAAAGATTTCGATAGCTGATCACTTAGAGTTCAGGTATGTGCAGAATAATGAAGAATGTGACAGTTTTACGAAGGCTAGTGTGGTTGTATTATGAACTTCTTTTCATTTCGTTGTGAGGTACGAATTTCTGGTGTCCATTAGTATGCCTGGTGACATACATTGTTCTCATTGAGAAACGTTGCATCTATTGCTTAGATTGACCTAGATTTATCTGGCTGATGTTGTCAATGAAGACGTTTAGTCATCCGATTTTGGGTTTATAAATTACGAATATATTAACTTGTCGGTTATTATATTGTTTTTAAGTTTGTTTTCGTTGTGATTTTTTCAAACGAGAAGTTTTAGCTATTACGAATGCAAATAATGCAGACACAATAGAAAAAACGAAATCCGACATTAATAACATACTCTTGTTTCATTTCACTGGAAGCTCTGAACTGTATGATTTTTTTTCAGAGGACTTCTGCATTTGGTAAGGCACAATGACCGATGGGAATCACAAACCATCCAGCTGTGCCCGCCCAGCTCATGTCCGTGTGACGCACGAGCCAAATATGGCCATTACCTGCATTCCCTTGGTCAGGACAACAACGGTAAAATTTTTAACCGAGAAATTTAAAATAAAAAAATCCAACAAAAAACACCACCTTATCGAGAAAACAACGATAAACAAATTTTGAGTCCGTATCTAACGTACGGTTAAGCTAAATTATAGCTTTGGGATTCATACGATTTGTATTCGCGTTGGATCTCATTGATTCTTTCAACTGATGTTTATAAAATGTTAACATTTGGGCTCCAAAAATTAACTTAAATACTGGTGAAGCAGTTTTGTTTTGGAAATAACCCAAATGTTTGAGATATTTCAGTCTTTGACTAGTTGTAGTAAGCGATGGCAAATAGATAGGACGGATTCATCTATATATGATGAGTAAGATAAATTGTGAATTTCCTTACTGTAACTTTTTATCATCATACTTTTCACAACAAAACACCAATGTGCTGATACAGCTTATGAACATAATGACTGGAGGTGAAACTATGTTATGCAAATGTATTCTATTTCAAACCAGCTGAGTTATTTATCAGTCACATTAAATTTACAGGGGAGTTATTTATCATAACATCAGCGTTTAACGAGGGTATTCAATCGGCCTCTCTGCTAAAATTAATACCACCAAGGTAAGTTATATTAATTACAAATTTGTTAACATTCATTGATATTTACTAGCACTGACAATGAGGTATACATTGGTCAAACTGAAATGGTTTCAAATTATTTTATTGTGGGTATGTTGTTTTCAGGTCGAATTTGTCAATTCATTAATGGTGTAATGGAGATTCTTTTTATTTGAACCCGTGCTTTATTTTACATTCATGATATTTGTGTGTAATTGACTTAAAGAGTTTTATTCAATATTGATTTTTTAAGATGCACCCCAGGGTTATGTAACAGTATTATACTAATTGTATATTCCATTTTGATTTCCAGTCCCAACTACGTCACGTGCACGGGAGCAAATGTTTATTTCTCTGTAACCATTACCTTCTTTTTGTCATTATGTGGTATTGTGTTGAAGGCAGTTTCTACAACATAATACTTTTTTGTAGATAACATTTTTTAGGATCCTTGTGAATGAGAGAAGTGCACTTGTGCTTTCACCTTTTTCGTTGTGATATGTGACGACCTTTTATGTATGATGTTTGATACAAGTATCTTCAACAATGTTTATGTATCACAAAAAAGACAATAATATCTCGCGATATGATTCAAATGTCGAACAGCAATTAGTCGATAGTTTATCTTGATCTGTTTGATTTTTTAATGTAAATGAAAAAAACAAGCGATGTCAAACAAAGTAGATGGGGCATACTAAACATATCAACTGGAACTCTTTAATTGTACGAGGTAAATAGACAGTGCTAAATCATGTAATGCCGATGGGGAAACTTAAACAATTTTAATGTTAAATTTGTAATAAAATGTCAACCCTTGTATATTCAGCGTCAATAAAAAAAATCTATTAGATCGGAAACCGTCACCTATAAAATGTCAATGGGGAATATTTATCAAAACAATGTCAATCGGAAATCGTCATCTATAAATCCCCGTCGGCAATATTTAACAAAACATTATCAACTAAAAATTGTTATATATACAATATCAATCGGGAATCGTTATCAAAGCAATGTCAAATGGGAATCCTTGTCTATACAACGTTAAATGGGAATCCTTGTCTATACAACGTTAAATGGGAATCCTTGTCTATACAACGTTAAATGGGAATCCTTGTCTATAAAACGTCAAATGGGAATCCTTGTCTATAAAACGTCAAATGGGAATCCTTACAATCTCAGTCTAAGTTTAGATATAATTAGTAAGACTTATTTGTACTTATATTAGCTGGTCTCTTTTATATTGTTTGCCCTTCTTGGAATCGCTGAATATTGTTCATAAAAAGTCAGTTTTTCTTTAAAATAGTTGTCATACAAAATCCATGTCATTGTTTGAAACGAAAACAATGTAAACGTTTATGTTATTTCAATATTTGGTGAAATAAAATATGTTCTTTATATTTGTAGCATTATTATGTTAATAAAGTATCAAAAAATTAGACACAACAAAATATAAGGTAATATCGTAGAATGATTTAGCATCATTTATTTCTACTCAAAATAGCTGAAATTCAAAAGTCAACAACGTCCCAACACATTGAACTATGATCTGATACAAACACACTACAATGGAAGTACGGAAACGCAACAACACAAAAATAACGTTTTCCCATTGTGTCTATTAGTTCTAATGACGACTTGTTGGAGATTGTCCTTACATCAATGAGACAGTCATTCGATGAATAAAAATGTTTGTTGTAAAAATGTATGAATTACAACACGCTACGAGTGCTTCATGAATTCATGGATGTAGCTGATATCATGTTATCATAAGAAAAAAGGGTTAAAAGACAACGGTGCTGGTAAATGGTTTCTTGTTTAGATTGGCAACTAAATATTTTCAACACTCCTATGCTATATAGTTTCATTGGATTTGATAACTGTCGCATCATCTTGTATCTTCATGATAATGCGTTGACATGACAGAAAAACAAATTGTTGCAAAATTCACAGCTAGTGACCAAGGATGACATATATATGAATTTTTTTAAATGATCCAACAAGCATTTGGTAAGAAATCGCGTTTACAAACAATGACTTCATGATGATCAAAAGGAATTACCTTGTTTTTACAGACGGAATATTATGAAAACTGATGGAAAATATTATGATCGAAATCATTATCATATTGAGAAAAATGTCCTGATACGATATTAAGTTTATGTTAGTTAGTTGGCTTGGTTGTTTCATTGATACATATCCATTTTTTCAGAATTCGGAAGGTAAGGAGGTGTTGATATAACAGAAGCATTTGACATCATAATTAAAATCAAGACAATATCATATTCAGTACATAAATAAAACCGCTATATATATATTTTTTTTTATTTAAAAAATGAACAAATATCAAAACAAGAACATATTTTAAACTCCGCGTCATAGGAACCATATAATCAATTATTTTCAAATAAATAATATTAAACTCAGTTTGTCTGATGAAGTTAACTCTAACTTTCCTTTTACAATATATGAAGTGATACTTTTGGTACTAATATAATGTGAACTTATCTTATGATTTACAAAGACAATTCCAGAAATACAAATAGTGTACAATAAGGTTATGTTACACACCATTTTAGAACGCAGTGGAAAAAGAAAACATGCCTTTATGAGTTGAAATCACTGTATAACGCACCTTAACCTAAAATACAGGCAAATGAAAACTTTTCAGACACGTTCTTTTTACACATCTATAAATTTTGGTTTAAGTTGGTTTTCTTTAAAAGTCACGAAAACCGCTCTATGTGCTTTTAAAGCAGTGATTAAATTTTAGGTCAGAAATTATCTAGACTGTATTTGGCGAAAGTCTTATAATATTTATTTAATCTGAATGTCGCCTGCAAGTTAAAATGTCAAATGGGTGTCAGAATGAGATAGAGAGCCACTGAATATTTCCCACATGATTCTGAATGAAGAGTTATACTAAAGTCATACGAGTTATTTCCCCTTACGACATAACCGTCAGTAAATGTATATTTATAACTTTATCTCATATATACAGGAATAAAATAAACATTTTTCTTGAAGACCACGTTTTTACACGTATCTTTCAGTCAAACCAGTTTTGTAAATAATCATGATGATTATGCAGTAAAACTGGCTGACAAGATTCTAACATGGTAATGTATTGTCAATGTACAATTCACACATTTATACGCCTTACAAAAATATAAATTCTTATATACAAAATTGTTTTTTTGGGTTGACCTGTTGTAATTTTCGTCGGTATGGTTCCATTACACATCTCCTTTAGAACTGATACCTTTGTTCGCTTGGTTTTACTCTCTAGGTAATCTTTCCGATTCATTTGTGATATGACTCATCGACACACGATCAACAACGATATAAAGTTGAAGAAAGGATTAAATGAACTGAACACACTCACTTCAAGTTTTTTCATTACCTTAGAATCCAATTTCATTTTTTATCACCTCGATTAAAGAGCGAACCAATAAGTCTGTGGTCATGAGTTAGAATGCAATAATTACTTCAAGGAACCTGTTTTGCTGAAATTTCCAAGAAATGTACAGAAAGAAAACAAATGAACAAATTATGAAATTCTGTTTTTGACGAGTTTGTGATCAGGTGGGTTTTCATGCCCTTACGCAACTAGCAATAATTAGTGCTATTTTCGCAAATCATCATCTTTGCGAAATAGTATTGTAAGGAGTGTGAATATCGAATATTGGATGTCGTTGTTCTTTTGTTGTTAAGACACTTAGAAACAGAAACTACGCCTGTCATCGTGTCTTTTTAAGACTTAAAACCTATCAGGTAAACATCAGGCTCACACAGATGTCATGTCTCTTTGCTGACTACGATCGCTTCCCGGAGGCTGAAGTAGGGACTGGTTTGCTCCAGACTCGGATTGATGGTCCACTCCTCGCTGTATCAAGGGTCGCTGCTTAGTCTTCACTGGTTTTTTCTGTAATATTTTACAGATATTTCTCATGATATAGTCAAACATATTGGAACCGAGGTGCCTGTAGGTGACAATTTGTTAATTTGCTCGAGACAGGGATGGGGGTTGGGGGATTGGGGGATCAGTATATTTACAAACTAAAATATGGCATAATGTTATAAGTTCTGCTATTGTGACTCAACAAATGCAACGATATGTAATAGTTAATTAGTTCAACACAGTCAACGAAATGTAACAAAACTCTCAAAACTATTTTTTATCGATAAAAGTCTTAACATAAAAATCATAAAGCACGACAAATATAGAACAAAAATGTCTGAAAGTAATCGCTTTAACTTAGTGCACTTTATGTTATTTAAAATGAAAATCAAAGCAATACTTGCCGATTCTGCGTTTTTGAAAATGAGGATTTCCAACAAGGTGACCAGTCCACCAAGAACTAATGCGATTGCAAGAATAAACAGAGCACCACTGAATGACCCAAGATCAAGTGCATAAAAATGTGGAATCTCAAACCGCTCGTCCTCAGATTTCTCGAGCATATACTTAGTGCAGTGACCACGGAACCACTTTGTCTCCAGTCGGCGAAGATCCCCGTCCTTAGACAACCTTAGCAAAGCTAGGTTCATACGGTCCAAATAAGCAGAACCCGGCGGTAGAACTAGTCCATATTGGGTGGTCGCAAGCAGATCATTGACATAATAAAGTAAACAACCAGCCTGCTCAGTGTAATACTTTGCCATGGCAGATTCTATTATCAGTGCTCGTGTACCTGGTGCAGATTCCTTGACCAATTTGATTCCGTCTCCTACGGTACTTACAAAAGATTCTGTGTTTTTTGAAATCTTACTAGCGAGAGCTTGATGCTCTGGCATCGCGGACGTCATAATATTTGTATGTGTTGACCCATCTTTCACCACATGTACTATGATGTCCTCGTTAAGTGCCAGGTCTTGGAAACTTCGGACCTTAGCGTAGGTTTCTATGGCACTGGGACGTGGTCCGACGCGTAGAAGATTTGACAGGTTGCCAACGTAACTGGCGAAGAACACAATGACAAAGAACCACCAGCCTATTACTACGATTCTCCCGCCTGCCGAACGTGGAGAACGAGTAAATCCTGAAAGGATGAAAACATGTATTTTTTTAGTTTCACACTGAAGTCATTGTTGGATTGGTAAGGTTTCCGTAAGACAAAACAAAGTAAGATAACATTCCCATGCGAGGAGCATAAAGAAAATGTCATATAAGATTGTATGAAAGACACACAAGTGAGAAGAACCTTCTTATACTAATTAAGAGCTAGACACAGTAGAGTCAAATAATTAACTGAACTTCATCACACAGCTGTTTCGTCCTTCTAGATTGGAAGGTGCATTAGCCCCATAATTCAAATAATTTTGTAATTTTCATATAACTGGTAAATTTAGATAAATTCTGATCAATTTAGAGAGAATTCCGACACGTATGGACTATTTCGGATTCAATATTAATGAAAATTAGTAATAGTAATTAATAATATCAGTAATGGCTGAGTTTATATCTATTGAATGCCATATATTGATCGACCATGCAAAATGTTACTTTCACATGTGTTACGGACATTTTTTGATTACTTGAATGTGTCATTCTAACATATAGCGTACCCTGAAGAAAAACAGAACTGATAGTGAACCAAAAAGAGTTGAGGCAAGTAAAGGATTCCCCTTCACGGATGGTGGCTTCGCCATCACGTGACATCCGCCGCCATTCATATGGGTTACAATATGATATGATGTACACGATACTTCCGGTTATGAGGTACGCCAGACAAGACAACAGCCATACGTCAGTCGTAAAAGGTTTCAGGATATGCAAAAGACGGTCCTTAAACGGAGGCATGTTTTCGTTTGGTCTCCGCATGACAATGACAGGACCAGTAAATTGGAATGGTTGTGAAAAGTCTACAGCCGTTGCTCGATTGTACGTCACAGTGATTGGTCCGGCAGATACATCTACAACCTTAGTAATGAAAAATGAAAAAATATCATCATTTACGTGGTATTTCATATAAATACATTCTAAATTATCATCAATACTATTTCATCATATATGTATATCTCTTTTTCGTACGAAACTTGATATTCAAATAAATGTTTTACATAGACGCAAGCATTCATCGGTGATGTACCCCAGCTTTTAGTTAACTAATATAAATTAGCCTTGACTGCTGACGACTAATTCATTTACTTAAAGAAACATTTGATAATGACAAGATTGAAACGACAAAGAAGCATATTTCAGTGATATAATTTGCTGCTGAAAGCCCACTCATTACATATGCGTATGATGAAATTCACATGATTTTTTAGTGTTGACGATGACATCATATCGGCTACGTTAGAAACATATCATCAACTCCTAGATATGTTCAAACAATTTTTCCCAAAGTTCCTTTGTTTCATTGCTTGAAATGCAATGGCTAATGATTTTTTACCACTAACTCTTCGTAACGACGACTTTAACAGGCACCGTCAGAGCTCCGTGCAACGAGGTACAAAAAAAGAAGATAAACACAAGGTCTGATTTTGATTCGATTGTTAATTAACCACACCTTGAATACATCATAACGAAAACTATTATGAAAACGAGAATCTTACTAACACACACGTACCATTGTCACAATCTGACCCACGGATTCAGTCCATTTCGTTTTTGTAACACACGTACCATTGTCACAATCTGACCCACGGATCCAGTCCAATTACTGTTTGTAACATACGTACCTTTGGCACAACCCGACCCAAGGATCCAGTCCAATTAGTTTTTGTAACACACGTACCTTCGGCACAACCCGACCCACTGCTCCAGTCCATTTAGTGTTTGTAACACACGTACCTTTGACACAACTTGACCCACTGCTCCAGTCCATTTAGTGTTTGTAACACACGTACCTTTGACACAACTTGACCCACTGCTCCAGTCCATGTGCCGTTTGGATATTGTTTTCCGAACATTCCGTCCGGTACTGGGATGAGGTCGGACGTTAAGTTCATTATATCCGATAGTTTCTCCATCAGGTCGATGATGAACCCTTTATAGGTCTCAGTTCCGTTACTACTGTTGTCTTCATCCACCATAGCATAGGGAGGTTGCTATCATAACAAAACTAACTGTCATTCACGTCATCAAATTAAAACCATACAAACCTCTCGACTTAAAGACGAGGTTCTATTATCATAGTCATTAAGACTTTTAATCCGGAGCTCAATGCATGTGCAATTTTGTCTCGTGCTACACGTTGACTATCACTAAGAAGAACTACAATATCACGCACGGTTCATTTAAAATAAAATAGACATACCAAAGAAAAGCAAAAATATGGGGGACAAAATCAAACAGAGGCTGTCATTTTATGGCTTCATTTCCAAATAATGATGCAACATTATTGTCCATATTATGATATTACAGTCTATTTCTGGTTAGTGCAGTCAGTTATAATCGCTCCTGGATGGCACTAGTGACATGTACACAAAATATTACATGAGAAAATGCGCCGTATATGAGGTTGATTATGTGGTAGATATATACCAGCTGCGAACAAATCTTAATATTTTCGACATCATATAAACACTTTACACACATGTTGAAACATAAATAGGCTGACGATTTTATACTTTAACCATACTTCAATAGTGAAACCGACCGTGCTTTACATCATGCACGTCAACTGGTACCACCGTGCTTCAGCTCGTGTTGGCAGAATGTATTGTGGATGGCCAGAGGTAAGACATTGTGTTGATAGCACACCCTTTACAAGTATATGATATATCGGCGCCTGCCGCGATGTAGACCCCCGAAATGCATATAAAAGGTATAAATTATACCACAATAATCCCAATATCTGTTCCTGTGGTTTAAAAACAACTATATATTGACTAATAATATGCCGGATGCATTGCTCACTCACATGTATTTCCCTATCTGCTATTAATTTGAACATAATGTGCATGCGTTATAAACTAGCACGATTTAACTATGGCGTCAGGACGGAATATTAGGAGAGATGACATCATGTAAGTTATGTTACAAATTCTCTTAACAAACCGTTAATGAATCGCAGTATGAAAGAAGGTTAATGTAACATTGCGTTTTATGATTGATCACTACAGAGCCTATCATTACAACACTGAACCTGATATAACACCACGGAATTGATGTTACAATATATAACGTGATATTACAACATAGAAACTAACATTGCAACTCAAAATCTAATATTACAATATAGAGACTCGTATTACAATACAGAGTCTGATATTTCAATACGTCTATCGTTACACCACATAATGTAATATTACAACAAAGAAATTAATATTACACGACATAACCTAGCATTACAACATGTAACCTTTTATTACAACACAGAACCTAGTAATAATGGTACAAGTATATTGGTACAAGGGTGAAAATAACCTTGGGCGAATATCCCGGTATACCATATTACAATACAGAAGTTGATGTTACAATAAATAAATTGCTATTACAAAACAAAAAGTTTTATATTACAACAAAGAATTTGATATTACAACATATGGCATAGGATTACGACACATATCCAAATATTACAACAAAGAACCTTGTGTCATACAACCAGATTTCGTTTATATCACCATAGTAATGCGTGTAAAAAAAGAAGCGCACTAACTCGGTAAAGTACGTCTATGATAAGTATCATATGTGATCTATAAGTAAGTACAAATGAGGGTCACCTTATTGTTTACACAGTATGTCTTTCTTTGTATTATTGGCAGACATATGTTTATTTTGTCAGGAAAAGTAAATGGTTTCTGTCTCTCTCCACAGAGTTGTGATGATAGAATGGTAAATGTTGTAAGTAATTACCGGACTACTTGTGGGATGTGCTTGATATTGAGTTAGTTGGTTCGTTATTTGTTTTGTTTTTGCTGTCATCTTGTTTGGTTGTTAACATATGTTTATTTTACTGTCTTCTAATGATGATTAGACTAGAAAAACAATAAAACAATATTTTTATCGAAATAATCAATACCTGAAGTATGTATCAAGCATCAATATCATTTCTAGAGCTAATGTCATAATACTACATGCACCTTAAAGAGTTCTTCTTTAAACGCTAGATAATATAAGCTTAAACTAACTCCATGGTATCTTGAAACGAATTAAATGACATGATTATTCATGATTGAATAGAACTTAAAAATTGGAGAGGAAAAATGTTCTGGTGAAGAAATAAACTGTCCAGACTGAAAACAAAGCCTGTCAGGTAAAGAACGCTGACTGCTCTCATTCATCTGATGAATCCTACACTTGATTAATATATTCAGTAAATAGGTGACACATCATATATTTATGTAGTAAAAGCTTTGTACCTAATGGGTTTTGTCTGCCAATCAATATAATCTTAAATTATGAAGCCATGCTACATATGTCACATCGTTTATACTCACCAGCAAAATGCCTACAGTGATATGTTTTTTCTGAAACGAAAGAAGATCAACAACTTTACTTCAAAACAAATAAGCTAGCAATTCATTACATACAAGTTTCATATACATGCATGCATTGAAATAAATATCATAGTAAGATACCCCATAAATCTATAAAGCTCCAATCTTTCGTATACAGTTTTCAGTCTAATATTCTCAAAACATACCCAGTTTATTATTTAAGGAAGAAGATTTAATATTTGACTAAAACTGTAGAGATTAATATTATAGATACCAGTAGTGCATTTTTGACCTTGTGATATCAGATACAAGAAACTGACTACAAGACCTGACTTAATTTGCTTAGAACATAGACTCTTGTGTATTTTAGCTTTAATATCTCGCTCCATGATAAACAATAACCTAAAATATAGACGCGGCTTATTTTTTAAATATAAGTCAATGCAGGTTTGTATATGTAAGAAACTACAGGTAGGCTACAGAGTGGGCTTCTTTCTAATGTCTGTTTGTTTTCGCGAAGGTTTTTGGCTATTAGGCCATTATTTTGCTGAACAATTTTAATATTAATGAAAGAAATATTTGGAGCTTATATGTATTGCAAAATGTTGTTATTTTCTGAGTGAATTTGTTTTCTTTGATTTCGGTGTTGACATAAAATCACGAAAATAGATATCTTTGAAGGAATTTCCTCCACGCAACAATACGTATGCTTTTTGTTTCAAGGTTTTAGGAAATCTACGAAAATACATACTTTGAAAGTAAGAAAAATTAGTGTCCACTACATGATCTCCTTTGAAAAAACATAGATTTTCTTTAGGAAATCCAGGAAATTTTTGCAATCGAAACAAAACCTTATCGTGTGAAGATATTATCAAAACGTTAGCATTCCGAGAAAACACTGACACAGTTGAAGTTTATGAAAAAAGCTCAATAGTATATTAATGTATTATGTCTTGAGTTCTTCAAGGATTTTGTATCAAAGTTCATCAAAATACCCTATGATATATCACATTGTAAACAAAAATATCACATTTTCCAGGTATTTTCGGTTTATTTCTGTTCATCAACGATGAAGTACAAAAATACATAATTAAGATGCCAGAAAGAATTATTTCAATTCTTTAATATCTACATGTATTAATTAAAGCAGGACTAGTTAAACCATATGCTTACACAGTAGATAACGTATCCGCAACAAGCATTTCATTGATCCTGATCCACAACAGCTGGTGAATAAGTATCAAGAGCATTTTCTGTGAAGGTCAAGCATTTCATGGACTGCGTAGGAAAAGTAGTTTTGGACCTGTTGTGACGTATTCTGAACGAACTTTTGTAGTTACCAGGGTAACAGATTTACCGGAGGCAACTGCTCTCATTTGTAAATGAGCGTTCTGTCATGCAGTTTGATTCGTTATGTTTTGAGTCTACGAAAATATTTCTGGCGTCAGCATCGTAACGAGTAGATACTCCAGCTCGACAGGAATGTTACAAAACTGTTGCATCTCTCACAAGGATCTTTATTGCAAATGTCGGCTTGATCACATATTACGTCTGAAGCAGAATTCTTGCTGGCGGTGTAATATTTGTTCCTATTAAGTAGTGGAAACGCGTGCCTTACTCCTCATTCATTCGTATAGCCAAGTTAAAGACGTGAAACACAGTATTTAGGTATCGGATAAGATCGGACCAATAGAACAAAAGGGTATACACTGTGTTTATCAGATTTTAATGTTGGTTATTAATATGAAAATTTGGAAATGTGTTTAATGATTTAATTTTGATCTTTTTTTTCGTAGAAAGAAACATTTTCCCTGTGATCTGAACAAGTTTAAGCCTGAATAATATGCATCTCTACCTTCACACCATAAAAAATATTCAGGCAGTTTTTCACCAATATGTAATAATACTTCATAATATACCTTCCTTCTCTTTCTTCACTTCTTACATAAATGTCTTCTTATTAACAATCTGGTGTGAAAGTTAGACCGGACCTAACATGTACAGTTGTGCTTCCCGGGAAACGCCTTTCGTTCAGGTGAATCGGCAGTTTTTTTAGGAACACCGGAAACTCACAGCTGTTTCGTGGAATGCATAACGCCATGATAATTGCAAATAAGCAGTAATTGTCAGTTAAACGAAAAATGTGTGCAAGATTCAGAAACCTGTCTAGTTTGTGTGCGCTCAAATGCTCTTATAACACATAGAGATAATTAACTCATTATGAAAGAAATTTGACCCAATGCCAGCATCATCCATCATTGAAATCGACTATGAATTCGTAGATATCATTATTATCAACGGAGCAACGATGAAATACAACTTATAAATAGACAACTTATCAAACGAAGGATTTTCTTATGAATCTAAAGGCTATATCGTTGTGATCTAGTGTAATTTGCATTGCACAGATAGATTTCTATGTGCTTGTGTACATCTGTCGGATAAGAGAGAATTCACGATATGGTTTGTAAATTGACGTTACAATTTTGCATCACTGACAAGTCCTAGAAGATGAAAACAGTTGCTCGATAGAGTAATTTATTATTAGGGTATATTTTGTTCAATTCTTAATCTGTATTGATGAAAGACGCAATTCACTTTTTTGTCTTTTGTATAATTAAGGAAAATGAACATGAACTGTCCATCCCATGGCATATGCTCTTGCATGTTACAAGTAGACTAATGATATCGATGATGAAGTCCGAGACAGTGGCCCTGATTACTTATATGATAATTTGGTTTTAGCCTGGGTTGATAACCAGTCTGAAAGTTATCGATGACATATATAACAAAACCTTCCTTTTTATCAAATCCTTTTGTCCATTGACCATGTCCATGTGTCTATCATGCTTAGTGTTCCTTATGACAACCATAATATTGTACATAACTTTTTTTCTATTTTACACAGTAGCATGATAGCAGTCAATTAAAATTATTTTCAGTTATTTTACCTTGCCTCGTGTAATTTTATTGGGGGTCTATAAACCCCCGTATCGAGAGGATGAAAGAAAGATTGAATGTAAAAAAAGAACACATGTTACATGGAAAAGGACAAGGAACTGTTCCCACTATCGTGTATAATCTGTTCTTCATTAATACTCGCTATAGTCTATTTCGGAGGTCGCTGTGCTATCATAACACTGTTCGCAACACCAGACTGTGTGGATATATATATATATATATATATGTATCTATACATTGTAGTATACACAAATAAACACATGTCTAGTGGAAATCATTCCTTAAAACACACGTTGCTTGTTGGCTAATGAATGTCTACAGCATCTTAGCCCTCGTGAACGTCAAAATAACACATTGTTGCTACAGAGGTTTACAGTAACAAGGCATCTTCTTACACAACCCTGGATGTAGGAATATCTAAAGATAGATACCACCATGTAAAAATATAACAAAGAGTGTTCTATTGAAAAGGCAAATGCAAGGAAATACGTTTTTGAATTGGCATACTTCAAAACTGTGTTTTATTCATAGTTTAAAAGCAAATTCTTGATATCTATTAGAATACATCCAAAAGAGCTTCGTTTGAATTAGGTTAACGATATCTTTGATAACAATTATAATTATATCACGAGACCTTTTCAAAATGGTGTCGTATTTATCTATTGTTAGTTCCATTACATCTATTGCATTTAAGTGTAAAACAAACTTCTTACACAGCAAGACGAAAGCTTTCAGAATGCCAACACATGTACACACACACACACACACCACCACCACCACCACCACAAACATACCACTTTCCTATTGCATACAGGCCTACCTTATACTAAAGGGACAAAATCCCGGCACACTTTCTACTGTCATCAAATCTTATTTATATACTTATATATATATAGCAATTATAACGGATGAAAAATCATCTTTGTGCGTATTTGTAATAAAGTGAAAATGCCTTAAGGATCGATTGCGCTTACTCTGACGGTTACAGTGAACATTATAAAAGTTTATGACCCTCTTAGAGAACAATCTCTTCAAAACAGTCCTAGTGGTATCACTGAAAGCGGAGTCGATATAATCTATAAAGAAACTGGGATTCCATCAGAATAAAAGTAAATGAGAAAAACAACATTTTGTCCGTGCATGTATATACCAATAATTCTCTCCCACAGGCAGTGCGATCTCTCGATGTGTTAGGACCGTTATGTACTATGTGGCAGATTGGGTAAACCTGGTAGTTCCTGTAGGCCGGGGATGTGATCTTAAAGGGGGAAAGTTGACTGCCTTCACTTCATAGAGGGTTAATCATAAATTCATGTTTACTTCTTATTATCATTTTCTTTATTGCATTTAAACTGAGTTAAGTAAAGATATGGGTTGATTCAAATTGCAGTACTGAAAATAACAAAGACCAACCAAAAATGTTCAAAATAAGCATGTTGTGTGATACCTTATAAAAGTACATACATTAAAAGAATGATAACGAAATCATTAATTGTTTTCCTCTTTTCCATTGGAACTACAACCAAGTTTTTATTCATTACTTTGATGATTGTAAATTTGATTTTTACTACTGATGTGCATTAAAAATGGAAAAGTTTCTCTCTTTTTTTCCCCCTTTTTTTTCTGTTTGATCTGCCTTGAAAAACTACACGGAACTATAGGATGGAATAAGGGTGTAGCTAAAATTTATTATTTCTAGTTCCTCTTACATTGCCAATTTCACATTATAATTCTGTGTAAAGAAAGCATGACGTAAACAGAGAATTTGTGTTATATAAAGCAGCTAAGCGCTCTCTGTCAGTAATTAATGTCTGCACCTTTCCGCCACTCTTGTCACTTCAAAGAATCGTGCCGTGGTTATTTACGAAACTACTACTGTTTATTACATAACACCTCACATACATATTTGAGCGATTTCGTTTAAAATATTACCAAGCCCGCTACATATATTTAAAGACAACTTACAATGTGATTCACAGAAAGGTGGTTTGAAATACCTTTTTGTACAAATCTGATGGAAAATTTTCGTTATTTTCCTTAAACGAATTTGAAATGAATTGATCAAGCGA